TTACGTATTATATTCTTAATCCTATCAGGTGGGTACTGTTAGGAATCTTTTTTCGAATGAGAGTTGCAGAAAGCTGAGAAATGTCTACACCAGTGAGAAATGGTAGACTTGGGATTTGAATTCAGACAGGCTGGCACCAGAGTCTGGGTGCTAAACCAGTGAAGACAGTTAACTACCCACTATCGCTCCCTATCTCTCTAGTGTCAGCCTGGCCACCATTTTCAGAGCACATCCGGGAGTGGGGAGGAATGCTGAGAAATGTTCTTGCTGGAAACATCGAGCCTCTTCCTCTGTGATGAAAGGAACTGGCTAGGGGCCAGCTGTTTTTCTTTGCTAGGGATGAGCTCCTTTCAAGAGGAGATTGACAGGCCGAAAAATCTGCTTTGTCCAGGGTCATTCTCTGATGGCGATGAGTCCAGCGGCATTTCCACAGCCAGCGCAGGGCACGCTGGAAACACTGCCTTCCAGACCTCGCTCATCTCCCTGGCCCCAATATGTAGCACAGAGCCCGCCATGACACAGAGAGAAGATGGTGTGACACAGTAGTATTCTAATGGTTAGACTCTAGCGGACCTCTCTTTCATGGTCGCCAGGATGGAGTAAGCGTCTGCAGAGGAAATGTAGAGTCTTTCACAGGTGAGTCCCATGGCAGAGCTGAGTTAGTATACGCCTGAATACTTCTTGACTTCCTATTTACAGCATAGTGAAACCTCATGGCCTAGAAAGATGTTCCAGCTGCCCTCTCAGCACCTGAATGTTGCCAAGGCTGGCCTGCCCATCAAGTGCCCAACGACTGCTTGGATACATGCACTGCTGGGGCTCTCACTGCCACGCACACTCTGTTCCCACTCCGCATGGCTCTGTGAGAAGTGTGGGGCATTTTGTGGAGTAAAGATCTTAGAGCTTTCACCAGCTGGATCCAGGTCTGCCTACGGGATGCTGGAGGACCAGTATCTGCTGTCACACAGAGATAGACACAAAGAACATGTCATTCCTGAGTTTTGCAAGTTACATATGCACAGATGCTTCTGGTTCCTCTCCTCACATAGTTTCCAGACCCTTCTGGGTGTCTGTTGAGCGCTTCCCATTTGGGCTTAGAGTGATCCACATACAGAGCCACTTCACAGATCACCAGGCCACCACACAGCACACTCCCTTTCCCCCCTAAGAGTCTCTTATAGGGGTTGCCTGGGGACAGAAATTAGTGCTGCAACTTCCAAGGAGTTTCGGGGCTCTGGCATAGGGGATGGGTTTAATTTTCATTCAGAAAGGAATAGTGTAAACATCACTAGTTAGGTGTCTGTAGGTAGGAAGAAATGCTAATACCATTTTTGGAATGCTTACTGTATGCCAGACAATGCACTGACCATCTCAAATGGTGCTACTGCTAGGGTCCTTATCACACAGCTGAAGACACTGAGGCTTGCAGTAGCCTGAGGGTCTTTCTGGACTAGGTGGCACATGCTAAGATACAAGCCAGACATTAGTAGGCAGTCATAGGTGAACACTCCGGGTTTCAGCAAAGGCAAGCATCTGGCTAGCAATTATGCTTCAGACAAACCAGATTCAACAGTGCGTAAGGGATTGGGGGGTGAGAATAAGTGTTTCAGGGTCTAAAGACCCAGAGGGAGAAAGCTGTGCGAGGGAGGCACCAGAAGGTCGTGATGGGCAGGGGAGTGCCAACAGTAGCAGCCACTGCACTTCACAACACAATCTCCTTTCATCTTTACAAGAGCCCAAGAGGAAATTACTACTATTATGATTCCTGTTCCAGATGAGGAAATTGAGACAAGGTTAAGGGATCCCTGAAAGCTACAAGGGCTGGAAAGCAGCAGTGTCAGGGTTAATTCTGACTGCTGACTCTGGGGGCCTGTGGACCCAGACTGATTCCAGAGGGAAAGCCTATTGGCAACACTGAAGGGAAGGACGCTTCTTTCCAAGAGATGGGCACCTCCTAGAACTTACCATGCAGCTGAGGGCTGCAGACACTGCATGGCATCCCTCAAAGGACAAGCAGCCTGATTGGTGCAGCCAGTTTTGCTAGGCTCTCTACACTAGCACTGGCAATGGTGAAGCTGTCTGGATCTGGGGTTTCCTCTGGAATAGATCCTTGAAAGCCTGGAAACCTCAATCATATACCATCTATGATCAGATACCCTATCTCTGAACCCTAAGTAGTGAGATGACATCTGTGTTTACCTTTGCATGGTTCCCTTAAACATCATTTGCTCAAGCTGTAATACGCATCAGCATTACCTGGAGGCCTTGTGAAAGCAGATTCTCAGACTGTGCCCCCGAATTTCTAACTCATCAGGACTGCAGATGAAGTCTGTAAGTGTTACAGGTGATGCTGATGCAGCTGACCCAAGGATCACATTCAAGAATAACTGTTTACTGGCAGGGTTACTTTGGAACATGTCTAAAGTGACTTGACTGTGAAAAGGTGAGTACTGAAGATGAAGAGGGCTCCTCTATAAGCCAAAGGCCTTGGGAACAGACTGGGAAAGATAATTAGTGTTCAGCTGAATGAATGGCCGGGGATGGACAACGATGCGGACTGGAGGAGACAGATCACTGCCGGAAGGAACAAGCTATTCCTGCCTTGGAAACAAAGGGATGCCAAGGCCCAAGATGAGCTGGGCAGAGGAACCAGACTGGTCACAGAGATAGAGATCGGGCGAGGGCAGAAGTCAAATGGGGTAGAGCTGTTGTGAAAAGCCGCAGGCTCCTGGCTGGGCTGCAGGGAAAAACTAGAACCGGAGGCAAGGAGCCAGGAAAGAACTCCCCAGTTGTGTATGGCCTTGTGATAGTCCAGCGATCACATTTCAGCTGCAACTTACTGTCTCCAAAAGCCTCTTTCTTTCTCCTGCTGGGTGGTGTTTCTGTCAGTCAAGGCATGCTGAGGAAGGGCCCTCGGGCACTAGTGAGGCAAGTCCTTGATGAGAGAGGACTGGGGACACTGCCAAATGCTGCTTCCTGCCCTTCGTGATGAGTCCCATCCTGGCAAGCAGGGATAGGGCTGGGAACTACGCAGTCTCTTGGTGTGACCTCTGATGTTTTCCAATCCTGGGCTGACTCAGCTTTACCGTGCAACGCAGAGACTGGCCTCGGCGGCCGCAGCAATACACCAGAAGCAGGTGCCTGGCTGCGCTCACTGCTCCTCACGGAAGTGAGCAGGCATGAATAAGAGACTCCCCATGGAGCGAAGAGAGGGAACATATTTCTGCAAGGCTGCATACCACAACTTTCAGCTTGCAGGGGCAAAATTGTGCTCACACGCCCTCCCTTGACCCTGGCTTTCCAGCACTACTTTGCCCCCTAGCCTGAACCAAATTCTTACTCTTGTTACTGTGCGTCCTTCATTTCATTTCTTGCATACATCTTTCCAATTATAAAAGGGATTTGCTGAGTGTACAGTGTGCGTGCGACAGGCCCTGTGCCGAGGCATACAGAAAGGCACACACACACACACACACACACACACACACACACACACACACAACTCAACCTTCAAGAAACTGCAGCGCAGTTAGGGAGACCCAGTCCACAGTCATGATTACATTACAGCACTGCGGGATGAACAGTTTCTCAAACTGAGCTGCCTCCCTCCCCGGCAAATTTCTATTTGCTGTTCCTTCTGTCCGGAATGATATTTCCCAGATCCTGACCTGGGTCATTCTCTCACTTGTCTCAATTCACTCCTGGAAGAGGTTCTCTCTCTGTCCTTCCTGCAGAAACCCGAACCCTCCCTGATTCCTGAATTCATTTATCCCCATGCCATTTGTCTTTATTTAAAAACCTATCATCTATTTAAAAGGCAGAGTGACAGAGAAATCTCCCATCCTCAGTTTCACTCTCAAAATGCCTGCAACTGCCAGGGTTGGCCCGTGCTGAAGCCTACAACTCCATCTGGGTCTGCCACGTGGGACGCGGGAGCCCACCCACCTGTGCCAGCCATCCTTTGTTGTCCATACCCGCATTAGCAAGAAGCTGGCTTAGCAGCCGAGGAGCTGGGACCTGGGTGCATGGCAAGTGGCAAAGATCAACCCCCGGGGCATAACACTTGGTCCTGCCATTCTTCCTTTGAACACATCTAATTATCTTGCACAGTAGACTGTCCAGATGTTTATGATCATAGAAATTCCTCATTACCTAATTCTTAGCTTACAGAATGGGTACCTCGCAGGCACTCCACGCTGAGCCCCTTCTTTTGGCTCATCCATCATGAGCGAGTGCCTAGCAGCCCTAGGCAAGAGGAAGGAAGGATGAGGCCCCGTCTGCTCAGGAAAGAATTTTGTCTAGTCTGTGACCAGCTCCGGGTTTCCAGTCTGCATTGCATCATCAGGCCGGAACAAGCAGCCTCCAGGTCTCCACTCGTGACAAGTCCTCAGCCCTAATGGGGTCATAGGCCCTCAGAAAGCCCTCAGCATCCTCTGCAAAGTCTGCATGATTTCACAGATGAAAAAAGGCTAGAGGGAGAGGCGTTCTGCTACCTTCTGCTCCTGTCCCCGAGCCCTCTCCCACGCCTCCACCACGCCCCAGCCCCTGCCCTTTCACTGACCAGCTTGGCCTGCGCTGGCATGGCTCCCGGTCCAGGGTGACGCACGGTAGGGAGGTGTGTGTGTGTGTGTGTGTGTGCAGGTTAGATGCCCCCTCGTGGGCCCTGCCCCACGAGCCCAGGAGCTCACTGCAGGGCCTGCAACAGCCACGCACAGAGGCACGCAAATGATGAGGGAAGGGCGAGGCGACCGCAGAAGGTCCGGCCGAGGCGACCGTGCAACGCCCACCCCTCCACGCCGCTGCTCCGGGGGTGGGCACCGGCCTCCGGCGCGACCCCTCGGGGCCGCTGCGCGCAGGCGCACGGCGCCGCTCGCCCCCTCCCGTCGGCGAGCCGCCCTTTCACCCTGGCAACCGCGGCGCGACGACGGCGCGCGCGCTGGCTGGGCGCGGACAGGCGGGGCTGGGCGGCGCCGCGCGGGCTGAGGCGGCGGCCGCGGGGCAGCGGGCTTGGCGTGGCCCTTCTCCGTCCGCGAGCTCGCACGGTTCCTCGTCGTGGGTTCGGGCCCGGCGGGCTTAGCCCTCGCCATGGACTCCCAGAAGGTAAGAGGGTCGGCGAGGCCGGCGGGGCCGGAGCGGGTGGGCGGGGCGCCCTGGCCGGGTGGGCGCGGGGCGCGCGCGTGGCTGGCTCGGTTGCGGCGTCGCCGGGTGAGGCCCGCTCGGCCTCCCTGGCGATGCTGTGTGAGGCCGGGCCCGCGGCCGGGCGGGAACCTCGCCCGGTGACCCGGGCTGCCCCCTGCCCTGCTCTTAGTCCCGGGTCCTGGCTCCAGAGGGAAAACGGGGAGCCGTGCCCAGCCCGTAATGAACCCCCTTTTCTTCAGCGCCTTGGGCCTCCATTGATTCTGGGAGGGACCGTCCCCTCTTGAGCAGATAAGGAAACCGCCCACCACCACTGAACGGGATCTCCAAGCTGTGGGGGTTCAGCACCGGTCTCCTTTGTACTGGCCTCTCCTTCGCTCTCCGCGCCGCGTTCCGGAGCAGGTGTTTGTTGCAGGGAGGGAATCGAGAGTTGCCTGGGCAGCGGTCTCTCCCTCTTTGGCCAGTTGCCGTGACAGGTCACAGTTACCTTGGGGTCGTGGAATGTTTTGTGCTTTGCGGAACAGTTGGGGGAAAGGATATGCAGAACTAGCTTTTTTGATGAAGGAAAAGATAGGCAGCATACCGATGTCTTTTGTAGTTAGAAGGGAATTGTTAGTATTCAGTCATAATCCCTACATGGGAGTCAACCACCGTTTTCTTTTGTTAGATTATAAGGCAGTTGAAAAGTAGTACAAGATAGGAGAGAAAAGTAAATGTTGTTTAACAGCGGAGCAGAGAAAGAATAAATAAAAGGATGTGTCTAAGAGGCCATTTTTTTTCTATTATTAGATGGAAGGCACTGGAAAGATTTATGCGAACAACATTTTGGATGATTGGTGATTTTGCCTGGAGTAACTTTTTTTTTTTTGAGTAGCACTGGAGGTGTGAGAGTAGCACAGTGTTAACACAAGTGCATGTGGCTTCATTGCAGGTGCTTGTCTTGCTGCTCATTTGGGGAGAGGACTGATAGTAAGACATTCAAAACTACGTCTTGTATGTTTTAATTGTGCATACATTTAAAGCATTGTCTTTGCCTGAATTTGTAAGGCATGGCACAGTTTATTGGGTACAAGGGGCACCCGAGTGGCCATTAGCAGAAATCAAATAGAGAGCAAAGACTTTAGAGTCGAGAGACCTTTGCCCAGTGTGATGTGAATCAAGTCACTTACACCGATTTAGCCATTTCCTCTTCTGTGCAGAAATCAGAATATTTGATGGTGTTATTGTAAAGATCAACACAGCCTCTTCCAGTTTACAAAGCACTAGAATAGTCCATGTACAATAAAATATTAAAGTGGTGTTTTAATAAGGATCATTTCATTTGGCTAGGAGATGAGCATGCCTCTGTTTAATAAGGGGTCAAGGGATGGGTCCTGCTATCAGCAATAAGGGTGAGATTTGAATGTGTGTGTTCTCCTTTCAAATAATGCCACAGTTGAGTGGAGGGGTACCACGTGCGGTTTCTAGAGACTCAGAGATTTCTAGACTGTTTTCTAGTGTAGGTGGTTAATATTAAAAGTAGCTGGGATGGTACGTCAGTTAGTATTAAGGAAAACGCTTAGGTCCTGCAGGTGGCAAAGGGTGAACATGAGGGTGGCTTGAATGCACGCTAGTGTGTAAGGCTTTGGGGTTTGAGCTCTAAGTTAGTCAGTGGATGACTGTAGCGTTGGGTCTCTGGTCCTACTGTTTGTGAGCTTTATGACCATTAGCTGTGTGAGTTGGTCGTTTGCTTTAGCTCTCTCTTTCTTCATCTGTAAAACACAGATAACAGTTGTACTTACACTTACTGTCAACCATTACTATAAAGATTGTGGGTTTTTTTTTTAACTGGTGCCTAGCATACTTACGTACTGTGTGTAGGCTGTTGCTATTAATTTCGTAGTCTCAACCTCAAGTTCTCTCCTTTTCCAAACCAGGCTAGATGTTTACACCTTGAAAGCATGTTTTCTGCTGTTCTGTGTGTAAGAGACTGTTGAAAATGGTGGTGCCTCAGAGTAGTTGCTAAATCCCCATTCAAAGAGGATTGGAAGTTGTGACTCATGCAGTCTGACAGTAGAGGTTAAGTTAACTGGACAGTCTTAGCAGAGCTTGATGATGGATAGTCAACAAATAGATTAGCTTAGCCAGCTGCTTTTTTGTCTGTGCAAATACCTTGGACGTCTGTTATGCTAGCAACAGATGCTCAGAATAGAGGAAGAAAATGTAATTGCCTTGGGTGTGTAAGGCCTGCTCTTGGACACAGAAAATGTGCAGTATTATCTCCCAGGAATAAACACAAGGATTTTCTTTATATCGAGTTTCTAGGACACTTGTGTGAACAGGATGTGTTAGGAATAGATGGCTTTGTTGGATACTCAAACCTTTTGATTATGTCCTTAAGTGGTTTTAAGATAAAATCCCAAAGGATTGTTTACCTGAAGAAATGTCCATGTTCAAAGAAGACATTGCACCTTTCTTGAATCCTGGGGCTTGGAATTTGATAGTTCAAGTTCACATTCACAGGGATCACTGTTTGGAAAGGTTGTTACCGCAGGGATAATAAAAGGTAAAGGAAGAAGCCAAAGATCTCAGAGGAAGCAGGACATACCGATGGCCTCCTTTTTAAATTGAATTTTGCAGTATTAAAAATTACAAAGATGGTGGAGAAGATCTTTTTAAAATTTTTTGCTGCTGTGCTTCTTTGCTTTAATGCAACAAGCATATGGAACGAGAATGGTTTGAAATTGGTAGTTTTTGTCTTCAACCTTGTTTTTTGTATGTTTTTCATTCTTTTTAGTTCTTGCCATCCACAAGATTCATATAAAACCTAGTCTCTTTTATTGATGGTAAATGGTGTTTTGAAGTAATTTATAAAGATGTCAGTGCAACCAGCTTGTGAACTTTTTTTTTTACATTATACTTATAAATTAAGGAAGTTTAATATAGGGAAATACAGATAAATGAAAATAAAATAAAAAAGCCCCTATCTGCACTCAGAGATAAACTCCATTTTTTACACTTATGGAAACTTAAAAAGTATTATGGAATCACATTATATATATTGCTCTACATTTTGTTCTTCACACAATATTTCATGAATATTCTCCCATGTAAATATTCTGTAACAATGATTCAGCAGAATTTTTGTATGGATGGATTATTGTATACACATTGTACAGTGAGTCCCACCTTTTAATTTTATAAATAATGCATACATGAGCATTCTTTCTATTATTATTTTACTGGTGTCAGCAAAGGCCACCATTCCCCACCCTCTTCCTAACACTTAGATCAGGGAAGGGTCTGGACCGCTAAAGCCAAAGGTACCCCCAGTACCCTCCCCCCATGGTCATGCCACACTCCTTCAGCCCTACCTCTCGTTGACACACAAGAGAGAAAGACTCCCCTCCCCAGCTTTCCACTCAGAATCACAGCTCCTCCCTGACCTTGCACAACACTCAAGGTCCCCAAATCAGGGCTTTACAACCCTCCCCTTCCTGGGCCCATGCCCATGGGCCCCCCACTTTCCCTTTCCTGGCCCTTATCCACCAACAGCGCCTGAGATCCTTCCTTTTTGGGCCCTCATGGAAAGGACTGGAACTGTGAGGGCACCCGACCAGTCTACCCCCATCTCCAGCAGGTGTCTTCATCACTGCTGCCCAGGGTCTCTTCCCTTCCTTGCCCCCACGCTCCCAGTATACCGCTGGGGGTTCAGGAAGGGCTACTGATGCCCAGCCCAGGAGGCTGCCAGCTGTCTGAGCTGTCTTGTCAGGTGCCAAGATGAACATTGTTTTAGTCAAGTCTCTGTTTATTATTTGCTTGGAATAAATTAGTGAAAAGGAACATCTAGCTCCTTGTGTACCTACAAAAAAAAATCTCAGGTGTTTCTCTAATTATGAAGATATCAGTTTTAATGTCCTCTTAGGTAGCAGGAGTATCGTAGTTTTCATCCAGTGGTTCTGGGAACAAGGAGTTTATGCATCATAACTTCAGGGTCTGTTGGGCCGGATAGTTTTTAGATAAGTAGCTCAAGTTGGCAGTTTAAGACTGAGTTGTGTGTTTCTGATCCTTTGGCTTTTTTGTGACTTTGTGGTGGTGATAGTTGTCTTAGATAATTTCATGTATAATTTTCTTTCTAAATCCACTGATCTCCGATTCCTTTGCTATATTTATCTTCTTTCCATTTCTGCCATAGTTCTAGCCATTCTCCATCCTTGTGAGGGCCATAATGGTTGAAACTACAGTCTTCTTCATAATTTGTTTCTCAATGCTCTCTGATGAACTTTTGCTATTTTAGAATACTAAATATGAGCTCTTGGTTGCATTTGGTTGTGAGACAATAGTTAAAGTGAAATCAGAGCTTCTGGATTCCCTTCTCAGCAGATTGGTCTTGGGAAACTTGCAGGACACTGTCATTTCCCCCTCATTAGGCTTAGAAAAGCACTTCATTGTGGCCTTATTTGTAGTGGTCACGTAGCTGGCCAATCCACTGCCTGCAGCATTGGCATGCTCTAAGGCTGCTGCTTTGAGCCCCACGAATGCTCCACTTCTGATCCATCTCTCTGCTTATAGCTGGGAAAGCAGCAGATGGCTCACTGTGCCTGGACCCATGTACCAACTTGGGAGACCCAGAAGAAGCTCCTGGCTTCAGATTGGCTCAGCAGTGGCAATTATGGCTCCTTGGGGGAGTGAACTAGCAGATCTCTATCTCCTCTGTTTAACTCCACGTTTCAAATAAAAATCTCAAGAAAGCAAGGAAAGCACTGTGTCTTCATTAGTTACAGGGAGACATTGTTTGCTTTGAGCTCCTGACTTCTCCCCACTGACTGGTTTATAATGTGTTGTAGCTTGTGTGCACCTTCACTGCTAGGGCTCTGAAGCCCTCCACGGCTGCTTATCTGTTCTGTCAATAGCTTGGTGTGTATGGGGCACTTCAAAAACCTTGGGGGGAAAACTGAGTTTAAAAGATGCTTATTTTGGTGCAAGAAATTTGGAAATCTGCACATAGGTTTTCAGTAGTACGTGCTTCCCACAGACTTTTTGAAGATCTGTTGTGTTACAGTCAAAATGCCAATGCCTTCTTATCTAGAGTTGGAATGTATTTCCCTGAAAAATCATCTGGGCTGTTAGTTTCTGTAGTTTGACAGTGAGGTACAAGGTCTATTTTCAGTATGTGGGCTGATTCCTAGTGCTTGGTAGACCCAGTCACATTGAATGTGAATGTCTTCCATATTTTCCAAAGACTGTATTAGCTTTGAGAAGACCTTTGTTTTTTTTCCCCAACTGCTTTCTGGGGAAGAATAGTATTTTAAAAGTCTTGGGCAGTGCATGTAGAATATCACTCCCCCAAAGGCTTTTATGCTCACATTATACATTATAGGATTTTTGTTTAGAAATATTGCTCCTGGAGCTGGCATTTGGCACAATGGGTCCAATTATTACTGTAACACAGGCATATCATACCCCAGCTGCTTCATTTCCTATCCAGCTCCCTACTCCTGGGAGAACACTGGAAGATGGCCCCAGTAGCTGAACCCCTACCATCCATATAAAAGACTTGATTGCAATTCCTGGATCCTGGTTTCGACTGGCAAGACCCCGCCCTGACCATTGACATAATTTGGAGACTGAGTTAACAAATGGAACATACCTCTTTGTGCTTGCCTCTCTGACTCTTACCTTTCACAAAGTAAAATAAATCTTTGGAAAAAATACGGCTATTAAAACTTAGTTCAAAACAAATTGAAAGGGTCTTTTATTCTGTGATAATATAACATTGTTTTGAATTAATTAAAAGGGAATTATAATGATTAATTATAACCTAAGGGTGTTATTTTTATAGAGGTGTGGACCAATACCACGCAGAATGGATGACATTATTCTGATTGAGTTTATGAAATTTATGTGTTAGCTGTGGTCACGTGAATTTGTTTTACATGGAGGTTGGTACTATTTGTGATTTCCCAGGAAGCTTTTAACCAAAGTCGTTAGTAAGCAGTATACATTTTACAGAAGTAAGAGTGCGTTTGTTTCATTTGTTGTGATAAGGATCACAAAGGTGGTGCTGCTCAGGTGCTAAATTTTTTTAAAGTTCATAACTTTATAGCATTATTTTTATTTCTAGAGGTAATTTTTGTATAAATAGCAACTTAAAGGTTAGTGAAATTCTGATAAAGGAACTTGGTTGTAGCATTTTTAACTTATATCTATATGTAGCTGTTATCATTTAAGTATCTAGAATAATGTAAGCACATAAAGAAATTCTTGTTTTCTAAGAAAAAAATTCAGAAAAATTTTACCTTATGTTTTTAAAAGTATTTATTTATTTATTTAGAAGGCAGTTGATGGAGGAGAGACAGAAGGAGAAAGAGGGACAACAAGTAGAGACAAGGAGGAAAGAAGGGAGGGAGGAGAGAGAGATCTTCAGTTCCCCAGTTCACTTTCTTATGGTCACAATGACCAGAGCTGGACTGTTCCAAAGTTAGAAGCCAGGAGCTTATTCCTATCTCCCATGTAGGGTGCATGGGCTCAAAATTTGGGGGCATCCTTCACTGCTTTCCCAGTACGTTAGAGAGCTGGACTGGAAGGAGGGTAGTTGGAGCTTGGATCAGTGCCCGTAAGGGATGCTGGTGCCTTGTTATGCCACAGTGTTGGCATAATACAGCGGAGGCTGTACTTGTTATGCCACAGTGTTGGCCCACAGTTTGCTTGTTTTTAACTTCAAATGAATAAAATTAATACAGAATATCTTTCCTATGTCTACTTTTAGATTTTGAATGATGCAAACCTTTGTGTTTTTCAATACTGCAGATCCTATCCATAAGTGGTTTTTGAGCACTTGAAACATGGCTAATTTGAACAGAGATAGTCTGTTGAGTGTATTTTGAAGACATAGCATCCCTCACTTTCCAAAAGAGATAAAAATGCATAACTGTTAAATATTGATTACATGCTTAAGTAGTACTTTGGATTCACTTGGTTAAATAAATATTAACATTCTTTCACTTATTTTTCTTTTACCTTTTTAAAATGTGCCTTCTATTGGCTCATAGTATATTTCTATTGGACAATTCTACTCTAAGGAGAATGAGAACATGACAGTTGGTAAGAGCTGTATTCTGACCTCTAACGTCACTATTAGACCAGAAGCTATTGACTTTAAGCAGGTATGTAACCTTAAAGATGTGGAAGACTTAGTTAGAAGACCTGATAAAGATTAGCTTACATCTGTAGACTATATTCGATAAAGTAATAGGAGCTTTGAAAAGGTAGGTGTCTCATTAGAATTTTTGGAGCATTGAGCTTTACCTAGTTGGATAGTATATTAACAGTTACCTCCAGAGTTTTTGCTATTCAATTCCTTGGATACAAAGTTTGAAACTAAAATCAGGCTACACAAACAAATATCCAAACAATGTGGGAAGTAATTTTGTGTTAATGCAGATTTGGTTTTTTTCGCTCTGAACTAGATATGCCATTTTTATGTATTGGTGGTTCAGTTGTGCGTGCGTGTGTGTGACAAATTTTCTTTTGTTTTCTTACTGAACTCACATATATTATGATGGTTGAGAATATTTTTTTTTACTGAGTGTAGTCTTCTGTTTTATAGAATAAGATCTCTTAGGAGGTTCTTTATCCCTTCTGGTACTATATTATGATTTTTACCTTGAAGCTAACTAGCTGTGCCTAGTTACAGCCAAGATGAAAGCTTAAACTCAAGCTGTGCTTGTCTACATTCAGTTTTCTATGTCACTGAAAAATGTTGATCAACTAAATGTTTAGCAAATGTGTATGTGTGTATATAAAGGAAATATACATAGTGTGTGTGTGTGTGTGTGTGTGTGTGTGTGTGTGTGTGTGTGTGGAGGGGTGTTATTCCACATGTGGGCCAACTGGTTACAATTTCTGCCTTGAAGTGATTAGGAACAGGAGGTTTGGAGAGGCCCTGAGCATTAACACTTAAAAGTGATGTCCTGGCCAGTCCATAGAACCTCTATTTTCTTGTCTGTACAGTAAGGTTGTGGCCCAGCTATTGGGAAAAATACAAGATGGCAGTTAAAGTCCATTAAAGAGAAAGAGCCAAAAATAAAATAAATCTTTAAAAAAAAAAGAGAGAGAGAAAGAGCCAAATCTTATAGCCCAGCATAAGGGATCTTAAAAGCATACAGAAATATTTTTTTTTTTACCACTGTTGTGTGATTATTAAGCCCATATATAAAGCCCAGGTTAGATAAATACTTGGAAGGCTCATCCTTATTAAATTTTCTGATCTTATCACATCTTTGTGCCATTTTTGTGCCTCTAGTTCTACCCATCTTTATCTCAAGGCCCCAATTCCTTCTGCAATTCTGCTAACCGCCTTGCTTTCAGATCTTAGTGTACTGGGTTCCAGAGAGAACACTGACAGGACAAGCAGCTAACTCTTGCTGTCACTGGTCTTTTTCCTGGTATACCTGCATGTCTCTTATTAGAATGCTTCTGGCATGAGCATGGGAAGAAATGGTGCAAATAAATGGGCACAATAGAGAACCCTTAGGCAGTTCCAGAGGTGGTAATAATATCACCTTAGTTCCAGGGATGGATTTGAGAATTAAATGAACACAGCTGTGCTTACTTTTAATTTTTTCACTACTCCAAAGTTTTATGAAGATCCATATAAATTATCACTGTTTTTATGTCCTTTTCTGGACTTTCTTTATATAAAACCTTTTACCGATCTCTGATTATTTTGAAGATAACCTTTATCTTACAAAATGCTGCAAGGGTTATTGAAATGTGTAAGCCTATACAAACAAGTCCTGTGTTCCTGGAGAAGTTAAAATGTAAAATTGTAAAATGTAAAAAGTCAAAACGTAAAATTGCATTTGATTTTTAATGACAGCACAGGTAATTTGTTTTATTTTTGCTGGCACTACCCATGAGCAGTTATTAGATGGTTGGCATTGTGGCATCCAGTAGAGCAGTCGTACTCAGATATGGATGAGTATGCTGAAATTAAGAAGAGAAAATAGGCAACTTTAGTTCCTCAGTTGTGGTAACCACATTTTAAACCACATTTGTTTTATTGTGGCTAGTGGCTATCATATTGATAGCACATATGTTGGACCTTTAGAGTATAGCAGAAATTTTGTTGAATAGCACTAAACTGGAGATTATGAGAAAATGAAATACTCTAAAGTTTTGTCTAAAAGTATCAAAGTCTGGGATATTTTCTACGAAATTGGTTATTGTGGTTTTACTTCATCCATAAATACTGTAATGAAATTATCATTCTAGGTGAAAATTGATTGCTTATTATATCTAAAATTTGTTATATAGTTTACTAAGTTAAAGTTTATAGGCACACCAAACTGAGGGCACTTAAGTAAGTTTTAGTTTTTATAAGTAAAATGTTAAGGAGTTTCATTGTCTCCTTATTTTGTTCCCATATACTGATGCTGTGTTGGAAGTTTCCATTTGTTTTTGTAACATGTAATGATTTGACTCTGTTGCTGAGACCTAGGACCTAATGCTGTCAAGTGATACTGGTTATTTTAAAGCTTGCTTGTTTTTAGTCTGAAATTACTGTAATTGCTAAGTTGTTCCCTGGGAATAAGAGTGTTTAGAACAGTACAAGTGCATATCTTATCTTTCATAGTTCTAGACTTTTGGAAGTACTAACAAGAAGCTTTACATTACTCTTAGTTATTATTCAGTATGCTGTTAGTGTAATAAAGGCTTGTTTAGATAATGGTTTTTATAAGTTTGTAACTATGATTCTTTTAAATCATAGGAAGCTCTGCAAAGGATCATTTCAACTCTGGCAAATAAAAATGATGAAATACAGAACTTTATTGATACTCTAAATCATACACTCAAAGGTGTTCAGGTATGGATCTTTTTTCTTAAAATGTATGTAAATATGTCAGTGGATTATTGGCGAGTCATGTGCAGAGTGAATATACTTCACAAACCCCGAGGTTATTAACTGAAGGATGTGAGAGTATGGTTTTTAAATGGTAAATAAATTAAAAATGTTTTCTTTGCTAAACCAGCCTTCTCACTGGAAAAGTCAAATAATAAGGAAGAAGGACAAGTCTAGAGTTACAATTGATAGAGACTATTGAATTGCTCCTTTTTATCCATTTTATGTTTTTCCTAATTTTAGAGCAAGTTGTATCAGTTCAGGAGTATTGGGAAATATAGCTAAGTTACTTAACAGTAAATAGTAGAAGAAAAGTGTATGTTTGCAAAATGTCCGCATATTGAAGTAGATGCAAGTAAAACAGAAAAGTAAAAGGGCACAGTGCCCAGTGAGAACAGAGAAGTGCTTGAGAAAGGGTTACAAGTTCTAGAAGATAACCTCTCTGTAAGTAATTAAATGTTGTTTTAGAAAGGAACCCAGTATAATCTGATAGTTTCATAGAAGCATAAAACCTACCAAGACTGGACAAATAATGAGAAAAGAGATAACATTGAATTGGTGATGAAGTTTCCCATCAAAGAAAAGCACAGAACCTGATGGTTTCACTGATGAATTCTAGCAGACATTTAAGGAACTGAATTTGGGGCTATGGTATCCTGAGTCCCAGCTGCTTCAACACAGCTCCCTGCTAATGGCCTGGGAAAGCAGCAGAAGATGGTTAAAGTGCTTGGGCCTCTGCACCCACGTTTGGAACTTGGATGAAGTTCTTGGTTATTGGCTTTAGACTAGATCAAATGTTTGATGGAAAATGATCAAAGTAAAAAACAATGGCGACAGTTATGCATGATCTCATTTATATGTGAAATTTTAAAACTGCTAAACTCATAGAAGCAGGGAGGATATATAAATTGAAGAGTGCAAAATTTTTTGTAGGAATAAAATCTAGAGATTGTGCAGCATAGTGACCATCATTGATAATGTGTTTTTCAAAATTGCTAAGGATATATTTTACCGTTTTTTTTAAACATTAATTTATTTTTATTGGAAAGATTCACAGAGAGGAGAGACAAAGAGAAAGATCTTCCATCTGTATGTTTATGCCCCAAGTGGCTGCAATGGCTAGAGCTGAGCTCAGTGAGAGCCAGGAGTTTCCTCCAGGTCTCCCATGTGGATGCAGAGTTTCAAGGACCTGAGCCGTCCTCCACTGCTTTTCCAGGCCACAAGCAGGGAGCTGGGTGGGAAGTGGGGTAACTGAGACAAGAGCTGGTGCCTGTACAGGATCCCAGCACTTGAAGAGGGAGGATTAGCCAATTGAGCCTTTGCACCAGACCCTTAACTGTTCTTATGACACAAAAAATAAGTCGGTGAAATTATGGTTATGCTAATTATCTTGGTTGATCTTTCTAGGGTTTATACATTTACCAAATCATCACACTGTAACTCATAAATATATATAGTTATTATTTGTCAATTAAAAGTAAGATTAGTGTTCTATAGCAGGTAAAGCCACCACTTCATGTGCCAGCATCCCATTTGGACACCAATTTGAGTCTTGGCTGCCCCAATTCCAGTTCAGTTCTCTGCTAATGTCTAAGGATAAGCAGTGGAAAATGACCAAAGCGCTTGAGCCCTTACGGCCACTTGGGAGACATGGAAGAAGCTGCTGGTTTCTGTCTTGTTCGTTTTCATGGATGAATAAACTGAGGTGCAGGAATCTAAGTACGAGGTCACTCCGAACTGAGTGGCTAATGTGAGATTGCAAGATCTTCTGCCTTCCAGGTGGTACATTCCTTCTACAATTTGTTCTCACCAATGTAAGTTAGGAAAATAGTTAACACCACTGTTTGTGAGATTCCAGTGAGATGATATCTGGTTCATAAACATAAGCAAAAGTTTGAACATAGGATATTAACAGTATTAGTTCTTTTAACCAGTGTCCGTTTGCTTCTCTTAATTCATCTGAATTGAAAAATTTCTTAAGAGAATGTCTACTAACTCATAATTTCTTTAAGTGTGAATTTTACTTATTAGAAACTTCACAAATATTTTACTTCTTGTTGAGTAGTGGCTTCCTGGTTTATGAAGCAATGAGGAACTCTGGGAAGTCAAGAGATTTGGAGTGATTTATTGAGTATACTGTTACAATGAGTTATATGTCTTGGGCAGGTCACCTGTATTTTTTTTGTGTAAATGTGGGAATTAAAAAATTCTAGTTTTTAGATGATTGCTATTGTAACTTACAGGAATAAAATTAAATGGCTGATAAGTCTCAGGATAAGTAAGAAATTGCCTAGTCATTTAAGTTCCCTGTAACTTACGTAAAAGGCAGTGTTTTAGAAGACCTGAGAGATTTAAACTTTGACAGAATATCAGTCCTATCAGAATATGCCCAAATGCATTCTTAGACTTTGTTAGAATCTCAGATATTTTATTCAGATATTCTACAAAGATTCTGATTCATGTAAAAAGTAAAGAACCTCAAGCTTTGAGTCTGTTTTAGAGCCTGAAGGTCTGGAGGAAGTTGGGAGGTTTAAACCCACTTTTCTTCTTGATTCAGTGAATGTAGTGTAATGAGAGAGTGGAAGGACCAGTAGCTTAACTCATAACGTATCTAAAGTATTACTATCAGCTTTAGCAGCCAGCTTCTTGCATTTATCTCTTTTTAAAACCTAAGATGGTTTGTAATGTAAATATTCTCCTTTAAATATATTTTAATTCTTAAATATTTGATTTTCGATAACATCACTATTTTGCTTTTTTTAAATAGGAAAATTCTTCTAGTGTACTTTCAGAGTTAGATGAAGAATTCGATAGTTTATACTCTATATTGGATGAGGTGAAAGAAGGTATGATCAATAGTATCAAGCAGGAACAAGCCCGTAAATCACAAGAATTACAGGTGAGATAGTGTAACTGTTTAAATGTGTGTACTTTAGTCTACTTAATTCTTGGTTTATTAAAAGAATAATGAATTTATGAGTGTAACTACTTTTAACTGTTAGGAGCATGGTTCTGTGTTTGTAAACATTTTAAAATCATGATTAAAAAGCATTACAGGTTTTATTTGCTTGATCATTTTGAAGTATTTCATTTTATATTGTTGAATGTACTCACATAATACTTTGTTTCCATGAAGTATATACTCCAGATATCTAATTTATAAAATCAACAATATTTGTCCTTTTGTGACTATCTTGTCATGACATCTTCAAGATTGTTTTTCATATTAAAGTATTTGCCAGAATTTCCATCTTTTGTGGCTGAATAATATTCTGTTTGTGTATGTATTGCATTTTCTGTATCTTTTCAGCTTTCTTTGGACATTTGGGTGTGCAAATATCTCTGTACCACTTTATTTTCAGTTCTTTTGCATCTTTACCCAGAAGTGGGATTGCTGGATTACATGGTAGTACTGTTGAATAAGAGTGGTAAAAGTGGACATCTTTGTCTTGTTACAGATGTGAAAGGAAATGCTTTTAGCTTTTCCCTGCTTGGTGTAATGTTAACTATCATTTTGTCGTGTATTGACTTTATAATTTTGAAGCATGTTCCTCCTGTATCTAGTTTGCAGTTTTTATCATGAGGGCATGTCTGTGGAGGCGATTTGTGGAGGTTTTTGTACTTCATTCTGTTGATGTGATTTGTTAGCATTTGTTGATTTGTGAGTGTTGAACTACCCTTGCATCCCTGGATGAATTCCATTTGATATTGAAAAATTATCATTCTGATGTGGTATTATATTTAACTTGTATCTGTGATCATCAAGCACTTTTTTTTGTTTTTACAGTTTATATGATGTTTCTTTGAATTTGCTATCAGAACAAAGTTAGGCTTATAACAAGAGTTTGACAGAGTTCCTTTATTTTTAGAATTTGGGAATAGTTTCAGAAGTATTGGGGGTTGTTCTTTACATATTTTATGAAGCTGTTTTCTTCTGGACTTTTATGTGAGACTTCTAATTATTTCCTTCTCTTCCTTTTTAGCTATCCCTATGAGTTTTTCTTTTTTTTTTTTTTCATCTAATGGCATCCCTAGGTGTTTCTTAAAATTTTCTCATTTTTAAAAATTCTTCTATCCTTATTTTTAAATTATTTTGACTGGATTATTTAGAAAAACTTTTCTTCAACATCAGACATTGTTTGGTCTGTTCTGATTAAAGTCTTCTTTTTTTTTTTTCATTGTTTGAAATTTTTAGCTCCAAACTTTTGATAGATTCTTTTAAGTTATTTCTGCCTTTTTATTGTATTTCTCATTTAATCATGCATTGTTTACCACATCTCCCATCTGTATTTTTTTTGTCTCTTATTATTTCCTCAACATCATTATTTTGAATTTTTTTTTTCATAGATTTCCTTCAAACCAGCATCCATTCTAGAGCTATTGAGATGTATTTGTCCTTGCTGTTTCATGTTACCTGTATTCTTACGCTGACCTCCACTTGCTTGATGTCTACTACTTTATGGAATGGATTTCGTTGGAAAAAAACTTTCTTGTCCAAATGGAATGTGGTGTATTGGTTGAGTAGTTGCTTTGGTTTTGGTTCTTGATGATCATGGAAGTGTAACTTGTGAGTGATTTCTTCAGCAGTAGTATGTGTCAACAATGGCTGTGAGTACCAGAATTGTCTAGTTGGTCGGGGTTCATGGGGTAACAGAGATAGGCTCCCAGAGGTGCTTGTCTTCAGGCCCCAGAGAGGTATTTTTTATAAATCACAGTAGGGTTTGTTATGGAAATAATAATGTTCTTGGTGCTGTGGGACCCATAAAGAGAGGTCCTTTTGTCCTGCCAGCTAAATCTGAGTGATGCTGGTTCTTATGGCACTGGTCCTGGAACTGTGTGAGGTGGATGTGACCTGCCTCAGGTCATACCGTGTGGGTGTGGGTGATTCTGGTGTTCAACAGCTCTGAAAGCCCTAGTTCTAGCCCTGGATGATAGGGTAAGGACCTTAGCCAGGCCCCAAGGGATGAACACAGGTTTTGCTGGATCATACGCTGGCAGATATAGCTTCAGAGCAGTGGTATGCAGGTAGAATGTTACTTGGGTCCAACAGAATAGGATTTGGTGACTCTGAGGAATACATTGCTAGTAACCACAGCCTTGGAATTGATTGCACATAATCATGGGCCTTCAGCAGTGGCATGGAGATGGAGCCTTCCCTGGTGTCATTGGTCAAGCACAAGTGTCCCTGGGATGTGCAGAGCTGACACTCAAAGTCACCGAGTTGTAGGATGCAGTAGAGTCCTTACCAACATCTCACACATTGATCACATGTTATGCTGGGGATTTCAATAACCAGTGCAAGACTGGGTCTGTAGGGTGCAGGAAGGGCTTTCCCAAGGCTCCACGGGCTTACTGATGTCCAAAGAGACTTACAGAACAAACTATCAGATGCAAAGCAGCAAGTTGCATTGGAGTTCTTTTCCAGGTCCCTTACATTAAACTCAGGCAATTATTTGGATTTTTTCCTTTTAAAAGATTTACTTATTTTTATTGGAAATACAGAGTTAGGAGAGAGTGTGGGAGGGGGGTGGGAGAGATAGAATGAGAATCTACTATCTGTGGTTCATTCCCCAAATTACTTCAGACTGGGCTGCAGCACCAACTGGCACTTGCAAGACCTAGAGCTAGGCCTGGTAGGGAACTTCAGGGACTCCCTTGCTGGGCTGCTGCTTCCACTGTTGAACATGAGAGTTGGGAGTGAAGATGTGTCAGGCTGGGCTAGCCTGCCACACCTGCTGATGCAGAGCCAGAATGGTATAGGTCAGCCAGGCTAGGCCACAGCACCAGCTGGCAAGTGCTAGAACAGGCTGCGAGTCATGTCGGGCTGGACCGTAGTACCCCCTGGCAGGCGCAAGATTGGGGCTGGGAACATAATTGGAAACGGAACTCTGAGTACTCCTCTGCTAGATTGTGTTTATCACTGTGAGCACAATAACTGGGGCTGGTGGTGGATCAGGCTGGATAAGCTAGCAGTACCTGTTGGCATATTTGAGGGCTGGTTCTGGAAGTGGATAGGGCTCAGCTTAGCTACAACACTCATGGGTATGCACAAGAGCCAGATGGGATAGGGGTTTGACTGGACTAGGCTGCAGCAGAAACTGGCATGTGAAAAACCTAGGAGTATGTTATTGGGGGTCACCCCAACTAGGCCATGGCATCTTCTGTTAGGCAAGAGGACCAGGTTTGTGGCAGGCTGATTGCAATGGGCTATAGTGCCTTTTGGTTGTGTGAGGTACGGAGATGAGACCAAACTGTTCAGGCAGTTAGATCCATCAGTTTGCTGGTGCAGGTGACAAGCCAAACCTGACCCAGCACTGGCTGGTACACACAAGAATCAAGTTTGAGGTCTCCCTAGGAGAGGTTTCTTGGGGAGCTCCTTGACTGGACTGCTGGACTCAGACCCCGGGCACAGGAAAATATCACGGGATGTGTAGTCCAGCCTTGGAGTTTATGGATTGGGACTGGACCTCCTCAGTTGCTAATACTTGTGCGGTAGACAGCATGCCCAGAGGCATAGAGGGGACATGAGCACTAGCTCATCTAGGCCAGCAGGGGATGTCAATGGCCTGATGAGAGGATGAAAAGTAGAACAGGTTGGACAATTCTGGCCAAGCTTTGTAGCACATTCCTAGGTTTATGGATGCACTGTGGTGGGCTTGTAACCAGTAGACATAGGAAAGATTTTGTCAGCCCTGCAGCCAGGAAACTAACAATATCTCAGAACTAAGAAAAACACTCTAGTGACACCATTGGGACACTCTTCCCCCTTGGGGTCTCTAAGGTGTCATCAAAGGACCATCCCCATTCCAGGGTGCTGATGCAGTTTAACAGCAGAGTGGCCCCCTTCTCCTCATCTCCTGCAGACACAAGAGGGGAAAAAAAAGAATTGCTGAAACATTTGTTCTACCCACCTTCCTCTGTACCTGGACCTCCCCACCTCAGTTAGAGGGCCACATGGGTGTGCAATCCTCTAAAATGTATGAACAACATTAAAAAGAACAGAAAAACATTTTTAGAAATGGTGACTTGATCATTCTTGCTTGTAACTCATATAAGACCTGTACCTGTGGGAGGAGTGGTATAATAACATGTGAAAACCTATTTTAACGAAAACCTATCTTAACTAAAAATATGATTGAATAATTTTTACTTTTCTAAGGTGTAACAACAGAAAACATCAAATTAGTGAGTTGTGGTGTACCTTTATTGCTGAACTTAATGAGAAGACAGTAGACTTGAATGTGGAATAGATTTTAATATCTGAAGAATAGTCTTAACTACATTTAAAATCCTAGAAATGGATCTGTTTCATGGTTGATGGTGTAGCAGTCTTTTCAAATGACCTCCAGACAACAGACTGAATGTAAAGGATTGTGTCAAGTGGAGTTAGTATGTGGGCAGTGAAGACAGAGAGCACATCACTGTAGTAGTTGTGGCCTTGATTGTTTTTGAGTTCTAGGTATAGGTCAAGTTTCCCTTATCTGGAGTGCTTGGCATATAAATGTTTCAGATTTTCGAGTTTTTCAAATTTTAAAATTATTGTGTAAGTCTTAACTAGTTGAGCATCTCCAATATGAAAATCTGACATTTGAAACTTTTGGTGCACTGATATGATGCTCTAAATGTTTCTGATTTCGGAAGATTTTCAATTTTGGTTTTTCTGATTAGGCATTATCAACCTGTGTTTGAATTTTTGATTAGTAGACTATACAGTCTGGGAGACAATAAATCAGCATTTATAGTAGTATGTACAACTTATATGATAAATAAATATTATTAAAATGATAAAATAATTTGATAAATTACATTAATGTAGCTGTAGTTTGATTCACAGACTTCATCTTAAATAGCTAATATGTTTAAGGTTTATATTATTTATTTGAATGTCAGAGTGACAGTGAAAGAGGGGACTTGAACTGGCATTCCTGTGTGGGATACTGATGTTGGAAGTGGTGCAGAGGGTAAAGCTACTACTACCTGCAATACTGACATCCATTATAGGTTCCAGTTCGAATTTCAGCCGTTCCACTTCTGATCTAGCTCCCTGGTAAAGGCCTGGGAAAGTAACAAAGATGATTCAAGTACTTGGGACCCTTCACCCACATTGGAGACCTGGATGCTGTCTCCCGGCTTCACCCTGTGTCAGCCCTAGTAATGTGGCCATTTTGATAGTGAATCAACGAATGGAGATCTCTGTTTCTCTCTGTAACTCTGCCTCCAATTAAATAAATAAATCTTTAAAGAAATTAGTCTTCATTATGGAGCATGTTGTTTGTTGATAATTATGCAACATTTAATTACAGGTAATTTTCTGACTGCCTTAATCAGGAGGAATCTTTAAATTTCATCTGTTATTTGTACTTGCTTTATTTTACATTATGAGTATGCCTTTGTACCAATTTAAGCTGTTTTAAATAAACCATGGGTTGAGATTAAATACAAGGTATTAAGATAATTAAATTTTCTTAGTAATTCTGAAATAATTGTATCTCATTATTGTTGTTAAAGCTATCTGTAAGTTTATTACAAAATGTAAGTAAGATTCTAATGGCAATAGGAAACCTTTAATGATTTAGTTTTTGTCTTTTTTTTCTAGAGTCAGCTTAGTCAATGTCACAATGCCCTGGAGAACTCTGAAGAACTGCTAGAATTTGCAACAAGGTCCTTAGATATAAAGGAAGCTGAAGAGTTTTCAAAGGTACAAAACAACCAACCAAAACACTACATTAGCTCTAATTTTAACAATCTTAAATGACATTAACAATAAAACACAGTGTGTTTACCATTTTAGCTTTAGATTTGCTTAGTCATTTCTCATGCTAAACATTAGTCTTGGAATTTTTTGATAAAGCAAATTTTAGCAGATCATTTATTCTAAATCAGACATTTAAAAGTATTACTTTGGGGTTATGAACAAATTAAGTCTTTTTATTTTTAAAGGTGCATTTTGTTTGTTTCAAAGGCACGTTGACAGAGAAGCAGATCTTGCATCTGCTGGTTCGTTCTCTAAAGGGCTGCAATGACTGGAACTGCTCTAGGCCCAAGTTGAGAATCAGCCACTCTGGCCCAGTCGCCTCCCTGGCTGGCCGGATCCCAGCTACTTGGACCATCTTCCTCTGCTTTCCCAGACACATTAGCAGGGAGCTGGGTCAGAAGTGAAGCAGCTAGGAATTGACCTGGAGTTTCAGTTTTGTAATGCCTGTGTTGCAGGTGACAGCTTAAAGTGCTACACCACAACAGCAGCCCCAAATCAATACTTTCAGTCTAATTTTTGTTTCGTCCTCAGTTCCGATAATTATGTTGGTTTCCGCTTTCCTTCTTGTTGGTAGCTTTTCAAGGTGATTGTGAACTTGATCTGAGTCATACTTTTGTAAATATTTCATGACTAGAGAACAGAATTGGTACTAACATACTTAGAATGTGTTTTGTATTCCTTTCTGTGAGCTAAATGGGAAAACATCGCTTGATGTATACATGCACTGTAGTCTCCTGAATTTATTATTGGAGGCAAATATCTCATTGCTTAGGTTATGTAAGTGAATGTTTTATTATTAAAATATGAAAATGCAGCTTCCTGCTTGGTGAAATGTTAACAAGTATGCCAGCATTTCTCTTCGCATTTTAAATTTCAAAGATTTGTAAGTATTTTTTAAAATAACTTTTGAAAGATTTATTTATTTTTATTTGAAAGGTAGATTTGGAGAGAGATCATCCCTTTGCTGGTTCACTCTCCAAATGGCTGCAACAGCTGGAGCTGGGCTGGCTGAGCCAGTAGCCTAGAGCTTTTTCTGGGTCTCCCATATGAATGCAGAGACCGAAGGACTTCAGCCCATCTTTTGCTGCTTTCCCAGGCACATTAGCAGAGTGCAACAGCCAGGACTGGAACCAGCACCCATGTGCGATGCTGGCACCATAGGCAGATGCTTAGCCTGTTTTGCCATGATGTAAGCCTCTTAATTAAAACAAATTCTTTTGCTATAAGGCATTATACAAGTTAATTCATTAAGTTTGAAGGTGGGTAGTACAAAAATTTACTTTTGCATTTGGTGGGAATTACTATATAATAAAAGAACCATGAGGGTGGTGTATTGTCCTTTTTTGTTTTTAAAAATCTGATAAATAGGGACTGGTGTGGTGGCCTACTGGCAGAAGTCCTTGCCTAGCATGCACCAGAATCCCATGTGGCTGCCAGTTCTAATTCTGACAGCCCGCTTCCCATCCAACTCCCTGCTTGTGGTCTGCGAAGCAGTGGAGGACAGCCCCAAAGCCATGAGACCCTGCACCTGCATTGGAGATGCAGAAGAGGCTTCTGGCTCCTGGCTTTGGATCGGCTTAGTTCCAGCCATTGTGATGTCTTGGGGAGTGAATCAGCAGATGGATGATCTTCCTCTGTTTTTCTCCTTCTTTCTGCTAATCTGACTCTCCAAAAATAAATAAATAAATCTTTAAAAATTAAAAAATAATTTAAAAAAATCTGATAATGTGGAACAAATGTAGAATGCACAAGATGTCCCAGTAATCAAAATCATAGCACTTATGACAGGAATTGATAGCAATATATGATAATTTCCCAGAATTTGCCTTATGGTCCTTTAAATCTTAATTTTTAAGTTTTCAAAGCAAAACTTTTTTCCCAGTTCCCTATTTGTCGGTAGATTCCCCTTTTTGTTGAATGGGGCAGCTGTTGACAGTTACAGTCAGGGTAACAAAACTTAGAGGCCAGCAGCCTAAGAATGAGGAAGAAGACAGAAAAATGATGGTTATAAAAACCAAAAAGCAACCTGAAAATCCTCTGAATCCAGTTGCAGTTAAATAGGGGCTGATGCCAGTGAACACTGTGAGAAAAGCTCCTTTCTCCTAAGCTTTTCTTTCTTTTGACAGATTCAGAGTTCTCTCGATTTCTCAAATGCTGCCCTTTTTCCTTCTTTGTTCCTTCCAGCTTTGTTCCTTTTAAACTTTATTCCTAGCAGATTATAATTTAGAGAGGTTCTGATCTACTGTAGCATGTTGTGGTTCAAGTGTGTTTTGTTAATATGGCACTTTATTTCTTCTACCTTCCCACTTTGGACTTAGTGTCTAACACATTATGGTAGTACTTTGCGAGGTGAATTGTTGGTCGGTGTTTCCTAGGTAGAAACCTAAGCTAACTGTTTAAGAAAAATGCTTTTTCTAAGAGCTGCTTGCAGTGATTTTTTTTCCCCTAGTATTTCAAGCTACTATTCAGAAAATGGTTTGATTCTAAGTCAAAAGTTAAGTTTACTTTCCTAGCCAGCTACATGGATTGTAGTCTTGCCAAAAACACCTAATTGCTGACAGATGGAGAGATGACTTGAAGGTTAATTTTTTTTTCATTTTTTTATTACGTTTCATTTTTATTTATTTATTTGTTTGTTTGTTTTATTGGAAAGGCAGATATACAGAGAGGAGGAGAGACAGAGAGGAAGATCTTCTGTCCTATGATTCACTCCCCAAGTGAGCGCAACGGCCGGTGCTGCGCTGATCCGAAGCCAGGAAGCAGGAACCTCTTCCGGGTATCCCATGCAGGTGCAGGGTTCCAATACTCTGGGCCGTCCTCGACTGCTTTCCCATGCCACAAGCAGGGAATTGGATGGGAGGTGGAGCTGCTGGGATTAGAACCAGCGCCCATATGGGTCCCGGTGCATTCAAGGTGAGGACTTAAGCCACTAGGCCATGGCGCCGGGCCCTATTATGTTTCATTTTATGACATAGTTTCATAGGTTCTGGGGTTCCCCCAACCCCTCCCCGTATCCTCCCCCCATGGTGGATTCCTCCACCTTGTTGCAGTATTACAGTTCAAATCCAGTCAAGATTTTTTCATTGCGAGCATATACCATGCATAGAGTCCAGCCTTTTATTGTCCAGATAAATTCAACAGTTTCTTGGGGAGACCATCTCTGGTCTGAAGGCAGAGCTGGCAGAATATCGTCCTGACCAATTAAAAGCCACAACATAACATCAACAACAGTTTACAACATTATGGAGTTAATTGACATGCTATTGAGTGACCCCATGTTAGAAAATGCAAGTTCTTACCCACGTCTTGTGGCTACCTAATTGACATTTCTATTTTGGTTTAGATACCTTGTGGAAATCATTATTTTAAGGTGTGAAACATCCTATGAAAGTGCTTAGCTCAGATTAATGTGGCACCCCCTAGGGACTGGTGGTGCTAAGAGGAGGCCTGCGAGAATACCACTCAGATTCTGTGCCAAAACAACATCGCTGTTTTCACCTGAATCTAGGCCTTGGGTACTCCTTCTGAAAAGAGGAAGATCAGTGGAATAATTTCTAAGTCGGTACAGTCAGCTATCTCATTCCATTCTTGTCTCATAGTTCATCCATCAGATTAAAGGGAGAAAATGGTTTTCCTCTTTTCCTCTGTAACTCAGCCTTTCAGATAAATTAAAAAATATGTATCATGCTTTTTGGAAAAAAAGTTCTCTTTATAAGCATCCAAATATTTTTATGCAGAGAAAATGAGAGAGATTGGGAAAGGGTCTAATTTGGCTTTTTTTTCCTTTCTTCAAAAATTTATTTATTTGAGTGATGGGAGTGTGGGGGAAGAGCAGTCAGCTGGCTCACTCCTCAGATGGCCACATGGTCAGGAGCCTTACCTGCATCTAACACTTGGGCTGTCTTCCACTGCCTTTCCCGGGTCATTAGCAGGGAGCTGCATAGAAAGTGTAACAGCGGGAACACGAACCACTGCCCAAACGTGACACTAGCCTTGCAGGCAATAACAACCCCAACCTCTTCTTTTTAGGATTTGTTTGTTTATTTATTTGTAAGGCAGAGTCACAAATATAGAAAGACAGAGATACACAGAGATCTCCCAACTGCTGATAACCATTGGTTCACAGTGGCCAGTGCTAAAGCAGTCCCGTATCAGGGTCAGGAACTACATCCAGATTTTCCACCTGAGTGGCAAGACCCTAGGTACGAATCCATCATCCTCTGCTTTTTGTGTTACTTTAGCAGGGAGCAGGATTGGAAGTGGACTTGAACTGGCACTAACATGGGATGCCAGCATCATAGATGGTTGCTTAATCCACTGTGGCACAAGGCTGGTGTCTTGATTTTTTTGTATTTGAGAGTTAGGAAGAATTATTTGTGTTTCTCCTACACTGTGCTTTTTTTTTTTTTTTTACACTCCTACTTAAGAAAGGTTGTCTTTGGTGGCAGATTTCTATGAGTTACAAATTTAAGGACCAGGATCGTAAGATTTAATTAAGAAATAATTAATTGAGTGGATGGAAGGAGGAATGTGGGTGGTTGGGAAGGAATAAGAGAGAGAGTGGAGTTGTTTCTGATGTGAATACAGAAGAAATAAGTGTTTGTAAACAGGACTTCATTAGATAACTGAAACAGTGATGTTCAAAGAAAGCTGCTTCTGATAGGCTCCCCAATGTGGTACAGTCCCACTGAGGCTGCCTTCTATGCCCCAGCTGGGTTATGCATGTATAAATCAATGTGTTGATGACAAGCAGTGGCAAATCCTGCATCAGTTAGTATTTCGTAAACTGAGAAGTTTTAAAATAATTTACCACTTTTGAAATTGAAACTTATAGGCATCCAGCTATAGTGATGTATGTCTTTGAGCAAGGTTTCACTTAAGGAGAAAAAAAATTTAAGATAATAGTTCGTCTTCTAATTAGAGTTCTGGAGCCAGCTCATGCCAGGGAACTTAGAAAAGTTCATAAATAAGTGCAATTGAAATGTTTACTTTGATGTAAACATTTTTTGAAATCCCATGTATAGTATTTTAATAATACTTGTTTTTATTTTCAATTTTTATAACAAAATTTATTTATTTGAAAGGTGGAGTGATGGAGAGAAAGAGAGAAAACTCTTCCATTTGCTTAATCATTTCACACATAGGCACCATAACTGGAGATGGGATAGGCTAAAGCCAGGAGCCCAGGAATTCCATCCAGGATCTCCCTCGTGGGAAAATCAAGTGCTTGGGACATCATGTGTGCTTCCCAGGAACATTACAGGGACGTGAATTGCAGGCAGAATAGCCAGTGCTTGATCTGGTACTCTGATATTGGATGTGGGTGTTGCAAACAGCAGCTTAACCTGCTGAGCTATGATGTCCGCCCTCATAATATTCATTTCTCGATAAACTTTCTGAAAACCCTACATGTTTACATGTCTACCCATTTCAAAAATTTTTTGTTTTTAATTATTATAAGAAATCCCATTATCTGAATTTTACTTTTCCCTTTAGTTTTTGCTTTGAACCTATTTTGATTATTATTCATGATACAGTTTGTATATAAAGGGATTATTCCCTTTGTTGCCTCTCCTCTCCTTCCCTGCCTTCTCTCTCCCCTCCCTTGCCACCCTCTCCTCCCACCATTTCTCCCCCCCATATTATTACATCAATACAATCCTTCGGCAGTGTGTACAAATTCAAAATTTTTATGCCAAAATAAGCTTACTTTTTCAATTCCGTTTTTCCATAGAGGATGTTTTAAATTACCCTCATATGCTGATATATTTAATCTCAATTTTGTTCTTTTGTGTTAAAAGATACTCAAACCAAAATGTTTTTAGGTGAGCCTAGAAATGACCAATAGCAAATAGGAATAATGTTAGCACTGAATAGGAGAGCCCACAGAAGTATTGCTATATACATTTAAGCGATATCAATTTAATAGTTATTTTGTGTGAATGTGTGGCAAACATTATGCTAAACAGTGAGTTCAGGGGGTTCATCAAAATGAATTATCTTTTTCAAATGTATTAATTATGTCAGTTAGTGTAGAAGAAAGACTTCAGGGAGAGAGGGAGAGAAGACAGAGAGGTTTTCCATCTACTGTTTCACTCCCCAGTTGACCATGATGGCCAGAGTTGGGCCAATCTCAGTGTAGCAGCCTGGACCTTGTTCTGGGTCTCCCAGGTGGGTGCAGAGGCCAAGGACTTGGGCCATATTCTGCTGCTCCCCCTGGCACATCAGCAGGGAACTGGATTGGAAGTGGAGCAGCTGGAACTTGGAATTAATGCTCGTATGTTTGGCAATGCAGACAGAGGATTAATGTATTATGCCATGGTGCTGGTTCCGAAGAAGTCATTTTTTAAAAAGATTTTTTCAGCTGTTTCAAAGTCAGTGTTATATAACAAGGGAGATTCTCTCTCTCTCTTTTTTTCTCTCTCTGTCATACACATGCACACACAGAGAAAAAAAGAGGTGGGGAAACAGAGAAGAAAGGAGAGAGAAGAAAGGAGAGAGAAAGATTTTCTGTCTGCTGGTTCACTCCCTAGATGGCCATAACAGCCAGATGGGAGTGAGGCCTGGGTCAGAATCTTCCTTCAGGTTTCTCACTTAGGTGGCAGGAGCTCAGGCACTTGGGCCATCGTCCAGTGCCCTTTCACAGACCGCTAGCGGGGAACTGGACCAGAGGTGATGCAGCTGGCACTAACTGCTGTGCAGAGGGGCTGCTGGTGTTGCAAGTGTCGGTTTTATTCATGATGCTCCAACACTGGCCTCAGGAAGGGATTTCTTGTGTGTAACAGGTTTAAGTTAGCAGCTTCTCTGGAATCATCTGAGGGTAAAATTCCCAATGTTAGAAATATTTCTCTGATCTCTCCTGAATGTCTAGCAGAAGATCGTGGAACTACAGCCTGTTTTTGTGTGTTATCAGGCAGTCTCTCAAAACACAAAATTCTTGACTAGTAAAGAAATGTTCAGAAATCTTGAAATAGGGCCCGGCACAATAGCATAGTGATTAAAGTCCTTGCCTTGAACACGCTGGGATCCCACATGGGCACCAGTTCATATCTCGGCAGCCCCGCTTCCTGTTCAGCTCCCTGCCTGTGGCCTGGGAAAGCAATTGAGGATGGCCCAAAGCTTTAGGACCCTGCACCCACGTGGGAGACCCAGAAGAAGTTCCTGGCCCCTGGCTTCGGATTGGCTCAGCTCCAGCCTTTGCGGCCACTCGGGACGTGAACCATCCAATGGAAGATCTTCGACTCTGTCTCTCCCTTTCTGTATATCTGCCTTTCCAATAAAAAAAAAAAAAAGAAAAAAGAAATCTTGAAACAACCGTCATGAAGGAGTGAAGGAAGTGACAAAAAAGTCAAGAGCAGATCTGACATAAGTGAAAACCTTAATAATACATAAAAGTTGTGTCCCATGCAGGTTGATTGTTTTGGTTGAAAAATGTTAGATTAAATGAAAGGGGGAGTGTGTTTTGATATTCTTAAGGTAAGAAAAAAGCATTCTAGTCACCTAGGATTAGTTGAATGAATTTTCATCTTTTTAAGGTGACTTATCTGTGATTATTATGTTTTAATAATAGTCCTAGCATCGCACTGTGCAAGCTTATGTCAACTGTGCAAATTCCTGTAATTTATATTTTGGTGAATATTAACTAATCTGTTGCAGGGTTTATATCCTAACTTTTCTTGCATGTCACTGCCATTGAAACTTGCATGAAAAACACTAACTACCTTCTTTCTCTTCTCCCTGATTGCTCCAAGGCTGCCAGACAGATCAAGGATAGGTACGGTATAAAACCCCCGTTTTTATTTAAGTATTCATATTGAAATCAGAAATGAAATTCAGTTTTTGTTAGAATCTTGTTGCTTGAAATAAAGATATCCAAAGGCCAAGTTCAAAATAAAAATATGTCTGCCGTGTATCTTCTTGGCATTATTAAATCAGTAAGATTTTTAAAAAATACAGTTATTGACAATTATATAGCTCCAAAAGAATTTCATTTCTGGTACAATAATATAGTTAGTTTTAGAACAGTTCCTAGTTGTAGTAGAAAATAAACTATTTTGCATAAATTTAAGTAATTGTATTTTTTGTTGCTTAAGTGTTTGTGGTTCTTATTTTAGGAGTGGTGTCAGCATTTTGAATAGTCCTAAAGAGCTAAGGCTGTCCCTCTTCACCCCCTCCAGTTTAACACCTGTGTGTTCTCATTCTATCCTGTTCCTGGTGCCATCTCCTTTTACTTCTAATGCCACCACTACCTAAATTATGTTCAGTGGGAAGAGAAAATTAAAGAAAGTCATTAAAGGTTTGACCTACAGGTCTCTGTCTTTGGTAGAACCAGAATAAAGAAAGGGCATTTAGTGCATACTGTAATGAGTGCCTTACCTTTCTGAAGGAGCTGCTGGAATATTTGGAATATGTTAACACAGAAGGAGCAGGCTTGTTCTACTCCCTGAGCATTGTAGTGAAATTGAAATGAACTTTCCATCTGAAGACTATCAGATTCTCTGAAAGACATTGTTTGACAAAGTACCAGTTTGAATCCTAGTTTAAATTATTCTCCATTACATAATTCACACAAGTAATTATTATGGATTTTATGGAAACTAGCATCAATATTGTTAATCTAGAATGAAATTTTCAATGCTGTGTTTCATTTATAGTCTATTATTTGATCAGAGGCAATTTTTACATGATAGTTATAACATTCTTAGCACAAATATTAATTTTAATGTCTCAGGCAGAAGTTACTATGTGGGTCTTTCTTCTATATCCTGAACATAGAAATAGAGTTTGAAGGTGGAGAATATTGAATGTGTACTTAGATGCTTAGATAGGTCAGGGGTTTTGATAAACCCAATGAGGAATGTTTCTGCTGGAATTTGCTGTAATTAATTTTCCACCCTGGAAAGATTGTATTTTCTGTTTAGTTACATGTTCTACTATATCTTCCTCAGGTCCTTGATTTTTAGAATTAGAAGTCATTTTATCATCAGCCTTTGGGCTGTCTAAAAGCCCTGTGAGAGACTGCAAAATCATTTCTCTGTCCTTATCCCTAATCTCTTTCTCTTGGTCCAGATTGGATTGTCAGAATTTACTTTCATGATCAATTTTCTTGGCTGTATTCTTCAATAAAGCTTGGCTTTTTTGCCTCCTCTTCTAAGTCAGGTTTTTGGCTTGGTTGTATCAGTATCCAGATTATGCCAGGACGTAGGACTCTGTTTCTGTCAAGAAAACATGTCTTCTATTTTTTTTCCCCAAAACCAGCATTGTGTGTGTGTGTGTGTGTGTGTGTGTGTGTGTGTGTGTGTGACCGAATTTTTACTTTCTGCCAAAGGAACATTTCTTGCTTTGGCTTATTTTTTTCTCCTCTTTATTTGAGAAGCAAGGAGACAAACCAGCTTTTCATTCTTTTTTTTTTTTTATTCTCCAAATGCCTTACAGTGGCCAGCACTGCATTGGGCCAAAGCTAGGATCCAGTAACTCAATCTCATTTTCCCATGGAGATAGCAGGGACCAGCTTTTTGAAACATCACCTGTACTTGCAGGAAGCTGAAATGAGAGGCCTGTTCTGTGGCTCAGACCCAGTATTCCAGTCTGAAAGGTGGGCATCTTGAGTATTAGGCAAAACACCTGCCCTAGGGTTAATTTTTTAATTCATTTTTGATTTTATAATATGCAAGTTGTCACGTGTAGGAACAGAGTTCAGGTATAGTTTTTAGGTGCTCTCCCCAAGAAGGGGGATGCTTAAGATTGTAGCAGTATCAATTATAATGCAAAAAGAATTAAAACATATGGTAATAATAAAATAGCTATTTTCACCAAATCAAGAAAGGATTATTCTCTTACATAGTTGCAGAAATGGATTTCAAGAGAGAGTGTGTATGATGAATCAGAGCAGGGAATCCTATACTGAAAGGTTTTTGTGAAAACCCAGTCAGTGTTTATTATTTATTGTCATGCTGGTCAGGCAAAGAAATAAGAGAAGGAAAACTAAAGAAAAAAATGAGAAAATAATACTTAACACATATCTGTAACTTTACAGCTCACTGCTGTGTACTCTGAATACTTAGTAATATTGGAAATTAATTAGTTGTAAGAGTTAACTATTTCTCATTGCTTCTCAGCCTTTTGGCTAAGATCAAGTGTAAGAGTTAACTATCTCTTGAGAGGGGTCATGAAGGAGAACCTCTTGTTAATTAGATAGTTTGAGGAAATGAAATGCATTCATGTATTTCATAGTTATTTTCTGTTTACAAAAATAAAACTAGGAGGAAAGTATCCTTGGATTCTTTAAAATAAACCAGAAAGTGAAAATGAATTAAAGTATACCTAACCATGCCTAGAGAATGATTTATGAATTTAGATTCTAATTTGGACTATAAGTAGCAATTGTCTAAATATAATCTGTTTACAAATGAAGTTTCAATCTTTTGAAAGATTATAGCATTATTATACATCAAAAGTGATTCATGGAAGCTTAAATTTTAATGGACTAGAAAATTAAGGGCATTGTTTTTTAGGCTTTGATAAGGCTTTTAAATGCAATTTGGGAGGACACTTTGGATAATGATTGGATCAGATTTTCTGGATTTTTAAGTTTTTGGATTTAAAATTCATACACTTCTTCAGAAACATTAAAATAGTTGGTTAGTCTTAGAGAAAACCATTCACTGATGCTGTGAACATCGTTTAGTTACCTGTCTGATTAGGACTTTTTTTAGAAGTTGTTAAATAAAAAGCGTTCTTTGGAATGTAAATTTAGAATGTATTCTTAAAAATATAGCATTTCTTATTAATTTGCCTTGAGATGTGAAATTCCCTTAAGCATTTCTAGAGTGCTTCCAAAAATTGTTTAGCATTCTGCTAATGAAATTGATAATTGTGTAACTTCATTAGTAAATTAGTGAGAAATAAAAAAACTAGTTTCAAAACAAAGAACGTATATAAGGTACAGCCTGTGTTCCTAACTTCTGATTGGTATAATCTGGAATTTCATTGTTTGAGAACAGCTTATTGTAAAATGAGTGGAATATCCTTGCACATACCGAGTGTTCATTAAGGATGAATTCTCTTCATCATTACTTGTACTTCATTATAGCACTTCCTTCTTGATAAGTAGATTGGTACATATATTCATTGCTGTCAAGTTAAATGGTTCTTAGTTTTACAACCGAACCCAGCACAAGTTCAACATCTTTCATCCCAAAATAAATGAATACACCAAGTTTGGCATTATCCATCCATTGCTCACTAGGGTAGTGTCCCTCCAGCTCTTACTTACTGTCTATTTCTCATTGTATACTGTAGTTAACTTTCTTGAATAATATTTCTGTGTCATTCTTTAACCATGCACAGTAAGGGGCTCACTTTGTGACAGTTTGTGGAAATTTGCAGTAATATAAAAGATAGAACTTTGATATGAAATCACAACTTAGTAAAATAAAAGAGTTTCTTTTAATAATTGTTTCAGTTGCTGATAACTTCTCCATACTTTGGGAAAAGGTGAGGTCTGGTTTGGCTTCATTTTTTTTTAAATTCCACATTCACCTAGTAAATAACTTAAACTATTATTTCCAAGGCATATAATTTCATAGGGTTGGTTGTCATAGCATTTTCCCATGTAACTGATATTGGTAGATCATCAGAGTGTAATCTAGTAGGCATGAATATCATTGATATTTGTTTAATGTGTCTCCTTTTTCATCCCTGGCTTATCTTTAGCAGCCACCAAGCTACTTAATAATAGAGTAATCTTTCTTACTCCTGTTTGAGGGCTCAGGACGTAGCTGTAAGTGCTGGAGGAGGGAAATGTTTCAGCTAGGGGTCTGTGCAGTTCATCATTTGGCATATGGAAAGGAGTGAGGTTGGCATCAGGAAGTCAGACTGAGTGTATGGAGGGTCAGATGAATGTTATATCTTTTCAGGATGGTTTCTCTTGGATATCCATTTCTTTTGATGTTTGTGTATGGATGTAATTTAAGAAAATTTGCTAAAGTTATTAAAAGCTATAATTGGTTTTCAAAGAAGTTGTAAAGCATATTTCTGTTAGACAATTTACCTTTGATATAGTCTCTGAAGTTAATGAAGTGAAATAATGCTTTCACTTTATACTTTAAATGTGACTTGATGTTCCCATCTTTTATTTTAAGTAATAATGTTTGTGTTTACCATAGAGTCACAATGGCTTCAGCCTTTCGCCTTTCTTTGAAACCAAAGGTCAGTGACAACATGACTCACCTCATGGTGGATTTCTCTCAGGAAAGACAGATACTGCAGACGTTGAAGTTTTTGCCAGGTAAATACTTGTAGTACCTGTAAGATTTTCTGTCATTTTTATCCCTGTGAGATTTTTCCATAATGAACGTTGATGTGTAAATATTAAAGAAATACAATATGACATTTCAGTTAAAGAACGGATTTGCTATTTTTTGTTTTTAGAGTATTATTTTACTGGTAGAAAAAAAAGTCCATCTTAACAATGCCATTAAGCAATACGTTTTATTGCTAGTTTGGCAGAGAGTAGCAGTATAGCATGTTGGGTATCAGTGAGTTTTGAGCCTGCATTTCTTAATTTATGCCTTGTCATTTACCTCTGAATAATTTAGACTGAATTATTTAATTTGCCTCATTATCTGCATTTTTCAACTGGTTGTTATTCTTGAAGTGTCTTTATGAGGATTAAGTGAATAATTGTACATGCTACACAGTTGAGATTTAGTGAATGTTTGCTGCTATCAGTACTATTACTGTGATACTTCTTGGCTCAGAAGTTTATTTCAAATAATGATATGCTAATTTTGGTTTATTAAAGTGTTAAAATGAGGGTGCTCCCTAGATAAAGTAATTTGAAATTGAATCTCAAATTATAGCTCTTCCAAGTGAAAAAGCAAATTAATGACTTTTTGTTAAGAGGTAATTTTTTGAAGCATTGGCTGATATTGTTAATTTGATTGAAACTGTCTGGACATAGTGATTTGAGAGATCTTGAAAGCTCTTGAAAGTGAGGTGTTTGCTGACAAGTACCTTTTTTTTTAGGCTGGCTATTTTTGAATTACCTGAAACTATTCCTTTCTTCTCTGGATGTAGTTGTCCATCTGTATCTCTAGGATCATTCAAGCATATCAGAATCTGCAGATTTTGAAGTCTCAGATAAATGACGTGTAACCTATGCGTACCCTCTCATCCACTTTTCTTTTAAAACAGTTGTTTAAAGATTTGCTTATTTTTCATTGGAAAGTCAGATATGCAGAGAAAAGGAGACACATAGAGAGATATCTTCTGTTTGTTGATTCCCTCCCCAAGCAGCCTCAACAGCTGGCACTAAGCCAGCACAAAGCCAGGAGCTTGCTCTGTGTATCCCACGTGGGTGCAGGGCCCAAAGGCTCTGAGCTGTCCTCAACAGCTCTCCCAGGCCACAAGCAGGGGGCTGGATGGGAAGTGAGGCCACTGGGACAGAAACTGGCACCCATTTGGGATCCCGGCGCATGCAAGGCGAGGACTTTAACCACCAGGCTGCTGTGCCAGGTCCGTTAAAAAAATTTTTTTTAAAGATTTGTTTGTTTTGAAAGGCAGGGGTACACACACAGAGACATAGACATCCGCAGATGTCCCCAGTGGTCACTGTTGGCCAGAGCTGAAGCCAGGAACCAATAGCTTCATCCAGGTCTCCCAGATGGTTCGCGAGGGCTCAGACGGTTGGGCCATTATCTGCCACTTTTCCTAGGCCATTAGCAGCGAGCTGGATTAGAGTGAGGTGGCTGAGACACATATTTCTGAGGATGCCAAAATTATAAATGGTGGCTTTTCCTATTCTGCTGTGAAATTGGTCCCATTCTTGTCTACTTTGAATCGTTACCAGATTACTTACAATATCTAATGCAGTGTGAACACTGTGTGAATAGTTGATGCTGTATTGCTTAAGAAGTTGTGTTTGGTTGGTTGGTTTTGTTTTGTGATCGCTTCAGTCCCTGGACGTGGAAGCTGTGGATATGGAATGCTGACAGTCAGGAACTTTAAAATATGAACGAAAGGACAAAGTTAGTGGTCATAAAACTACAATACAATATAGTAAGGACAGAGTAAATGAAGTTTTAACTTGTGTGCTAAGATTAGAAATTCTAAAGGAGTTTGTAGAGGGAAAAGAGAAGGAGCTGTGGTTGTAAAGAAAAAGTGTGCTGCTCAGTAAGCCCTTGCCTGAACCTTGGCTTTTTTGAATAACATGTGCTCCCCTCCTTAATATGATGTAATGGCAGCAACATTCTAATGTCAAAATACTGTTAAGTCAAAAATGCAGCCAGTACACTAAGCCCACTGCTGCTGTGCTCAGTGTCGTAATAGAGTAGCATGCTTGGGAAAAGATGGAAATTCAAAATTTGAACTAGTAGTTAGCATCTGTTACTATTCTTCTGTCACTTATTGCTAATTTTATTTTATGGTTGTCTGAGAGTAAGCAGCAGATGATTTCTATAATTTTTAATGTAAGATATATTTTATAGTCCAGAATATATCCAGTCTTGGTAAGCATTCCGTAAATGCTTCAGGACAGTGTGTATTCCTTTTATTATTGGGTGAAACAGTCTACAGAAGTCCATAATATGAGAATACTTGGGGCCCGGCAGCGTGGCCTAGCGGCTCAAGTCCTCGCCTTGAATGCCCCGGGATCCCATATGGGCGCCGGTTCTAATCCCGGCAGCCCCACTTCCCATCCAGCTCCCTGCTTGTGGCCTGGGAAAGCAGTCAAGGAGGGCCCAAAGCTTTGGGACCCTGCACCGTGTGGGATACCCAGAGGAAGTTCCTGGATCCTGGCTTCGGATCGGCATAGCATCGACCGTTGCACTCACTTGGGGAGTGAATCATCTCCTCCTCTCTGTATATCTGACTTTCCGATAAATAAATAAATCTTTTAAAAATATATATATATATGAAAATACTTAAAAACACTTGTGCAGATTATAATTTAAAAATAATGCATATTTTTCGTAAACTTCTTTGAAACCCCTGTCTGGTGCTGTTGGGATGCTGCACCTGCATGGGAGACCTGAAAGAAGCTCTTGGCCCCTGGCTGCAGATCAGCTCACCCCTGGCTGTTGTGGCCAGTTGAGGAGTGAAACAGCAGATGGAAGATCTTTCTTTCTGTGACTTTCCCTCTCTCCATAAATCTACCTTTCCTGTTAAAATAAAAATATTTTAAAAGTTGGACAAACAGACGTATCTTAAATGTCAGACATGAATATTTTATTAGTGCTATTATAAATGAGGAGTGAAGCGTGTTTATTTTGTATTTTTTTCTTTTCTGCAGTCCCCAAAGCTCCAGAGATTGATCCAGTAGAGTGTTTGGTGGCTGACAACTCTGTCACGGTAGCTTGGAGAATGCCAGAAGAAGATAATAAGATCGACCACTTCATGTTGGAATATAGGAAAACTAATTTTGATGGACTTCCACGTGTAAAGGATGAACGTTGCTGGGAGCTCGTTGATAATGTTAAGGGTACTGAGTACACATTGTCAGGTAGGACCACATTTCAGGAATCTCATTTCAGATAGTAAATGGAATTGTGGAAAATATTTGAATTACTTAAAGGATAAAGTTACTAAGTTTTCTTTAACTTTTGAAGCATTCACTGTGAAAGTCAGTTTCTTTTAAAATATTCAGAAACCTTTGCTTAAATAATCCTTGACATTTGCACCCTGATATGACATAGTATGTAAAGCAAATCTAAAACAAAGTTACATTTGATTTTTGCCTTGGTTTTCTGACTCAATAAAAAAAAATCTGTCAGTGTTTTAGATGTACTTAATGCCATGATTTTTACTGGTAACATACATACATTGTTTTTACTGTTTCAGGATGAGCTTCATGCTAGTATCTGAAATAGAGCTGTGACTTGGTATTAGGAATTTGTCTGTTGGTTTTTGAAAGCCTTTAAAAAATGGTTTGATACATAAAAGGCTTTGTATATTTGAGATGGCTAAATGTTGTCAGAGTTGTTCAATGCATTCTATGCATGATTGGTAACATTAGAAATTACTATTGTACACTTACTGTTTTTTAGGAGGTGGACTCACATGTATTATGAATAGTACATCTCATTTAATTTTTACAGTTGTAAGGTTGATTTTGTAATTTTATTTGACAGATAAACCAAGACACATTCTATTGAGGGTTCCATTAGCTAATAATTTTAGACTGAGTTTTAAATTTGTACCTAATTTCAAAGTTTGCATTATTAATTTATGCTTTGCTTCCTCTTCAGATATATTTTTCACATAATATGCAGTGCTTCATAAATACAAACATTATTTAAGATATATGCTTTGCAAAATGAAATATTATTAATTATGGCATCTCTGGCAGAAATATTTTTAATGAAGTCTAAAAGGGTACATTTTTAAAAGTTTCCAAAAAGTTGATAAGCTAGGTACTTTATTTCTTTTGAAGCACATATTACATAAATTGTTATTCTTATTTCATGCAATACTCTTTAAATATGAATTGCAATTCTTGTCGAAAAAAGTCACTTCCAAGGAGGAAAAGTATCTATTTGAAGAGTCATAGTTATTTGGGAGGGGCATAGAATCTGTCACTCTTCATGCCTAAAAATTATTTTCACTTTTTCAGGCTTAAAATTTGATTCAAGATATATGAATTTCAGAGTGCGAGCTTGTAATAAGGCTGTGGCTGGAGAGTTTTCTGACCCAGTGACTCTAGAAACTAAAGGTGAGACCTGTAGCCGATTGCCTGAGCATCTGAGGCTATTTGCAGCTGGGCGCAGGACAGGACTCATCTCATGCATGGGTGAATTCTCTTCCCGCCTCTGGCTTTTGCAAGAAATAGGTGTGAGACTGGGAAAAGTAGGGCTGTGATGAGAATGTCTCATTGGTTTTCCTTTGGGATTATATCCATGAGTATCAGGTAATGATGATGGTATTATATTTTCTAGTAAGTGTTAAGTTTATAAATTTTAGTACAGTATAAATATATAGTTATTGAAGTTTACTAGGGTTTGTCCAGAGAATGGATTATAAAAAACAAGAAGGTCCCTATTCAGTTTTGTTTTGGTCCCTTCTGTTTTTCCTGATATTTTATTGCAGTATATAGTTACATAGCTACTAGGATTAACTTTTTTTTTTGGTCTTTAACATGATCTTGAGAGATAAGAAGACTATTACTGATACTCATTTTCAGATGAGGAAAGTAAACTTTAAATCTGACAAATAATTGTTCATGATTCTTATATACAACTTGGAAAGATATCAAGAATTTTTTACCAAATTCTGTACCAGCCCTTATTGCAGGCCTGGAACCTAAGTTGCTCTTGTCTCTAACAGTAATGTTCATTTAATTGCAATGATTTAGAATAGTTTTTTTGAGTACAGGAATAATTAAAAGAGGCTTTTGTAACCGTCTTTTAATTTGAAATATGTTGGAGGTATTCCCAGTTGTAATTGGTACTGATTGAATTTGTTACTGCAGTCAGATGCTGCACATTGTTACAGGTACTTGGTGTTTGGGATGTTTCACTGACACCTACTTCATGTAATTTTTGAATTGTTTTGCTTTCCATAAAATTGATGTATTTTGGAGGATGATATAAAAATAGCATATAATAGGGCCCAACATGGTAGGTAGCCTACCGGTAGCTAAGGTCTTGCCTTGAATGTTCTGGGATCTCCTATGGGAGCTGGTTCAGGTCCCGGTCACCCCACATCCCCTCCAGCTCCCTACCTGTGGCTTGGAGAGCATCGGAGGACAGCCCCAAAGCTTTGGGACCCTGCACCTGCATGGGAGACCCAGAAGAGGCTTCTGGCTCCTGGCTTCTGATCGGCTGAGCTGCAGCCATTGTGGTCACTTGGGGAGTGAATCAGCAGATGGGAGATCTTCCTCTCTGTCTCTCCTCTTCACTGTATATCTGACTTTGCAATAAAAATAAATAAATCTTTAAAAAAAAGTACATAATAAAATAAAATCTTAGGCCCATAAGTTATAGAAGAGACAAACTCAAAAAAGTATCATAGAGTCTAAGAAAAAAAATCTAAGTAATTTGCATTAGCAAATGGTTTTTATTTGAGAATTATGGAAAACAACCAAGATATTCAATTACTTTGAATGACTTCTTATGAAACTTATGTTTCTACAGTTTCTAGAGGTTTCCATTTCAAAATATAGTTACTATGTTTGATATGACGTTTTTAAAATTTATTATTATTATTTTTAAAATCTCGTTTTATGACACAGTTTTATAGGCACTGGGATTCCCCTCAGCTCTCTAAGAAGTCCTCCCCCCATGTTGGATTCCTCCACATTGTTGCAATAGTATAGTTCATATCCAGTCATGATTCCTTTATTGTGAGCATGTACCATACATAGAGCCCAGCCTCTTATTGTCCAGATAAATCCAACAATTTTCTTGGGAGACCATCCCTGGTGTGAAAGTAGAACTGGCAGAATATCATCCCATCCAATGAAAAGCCACAAAGTAACATCAACAACAATTTACAACATCATGGAGTTAATTGACATGATATTGAGTGACCAGTGACCAATGTATTAAAAAATGCAAGTTCTTAACCACATCTTGTGACTACTTTATTGTATTGACATTTCAATTTTAGTTTATACACAACTGGTTGCTATACACCTTAAAATGGTTATTGGGGTACTATTCAGCTGTCTTGTGTCTATTTTCATTTTTATATTTAGCAGCTTATAGTATTGAACCATGATTTTTACTGAACTTGGTGAGTTTTAGGATAGGATATGACTTTTTAAAAAAGATTTATTTATTTTGATTGGAAAGTCAGATATACAGAGAGGAGAAGAGACAGAAAGGAAGATCTTCCATCAGCTGGTTCACTCCCCAAGCAGCTGCAATGGCTGGAGTTGAGCCCATCCAAAGCCAGGAGCCAGGAGACTCCTCTGGGTCTCCCACATGGGTGCAGGGTCCCAAGGCTTTGGGCTGTCCTTGACTGCTTTCCCAGGCCACAAGCAGGGAGCTGGATGGGAAGTGGGGCCACCAGGATTAGAACCAGTCTCTATGGAATCCCAGCACATTCAAGATGAGGATTTTAGCTGTTATGCTATTGTGTCAGGCCCTAAAATGACTTTTTGACATTTCAAAAAGTTATAATTAGACACTAATAATTTTTCTGTATAACTTGAGCTATTTTTAGGCCTTATCAAATAGTTGTATTACTATAATTATTCCTCCTTAGGCACATAATATATTCTTTTGCAATATTTTATTTTATTTTATCATCTTTTATAGTCACTGGAAAAACCTGGACCTAAATGTTGCTTGATGTTGGTATGCAAATCATGTTCGTTTAAGAAAATGGACAGATGGCTAGTGTTTCCGTGGAGGTGATCCACTGTTCTGGTAGCATGGTCTGGATCTAATTTTTTTTAAAGCTTTGTGTATTTTATTGGAAAGGTAGATTTTAAAGAGAGGAGAGACAGAGAAATCTTTCATCTGCTGGCTAACCCCCCCGAATAACTGCAATGGCTGGAGCTGCGCCAGTCTAAAGCCAGGATCCTCCTCTGAGTCTCCCATGTGGATGCATTTCCCCAGGAGTTGGGCCATCCTCTGCTGCTTTCCCAGACCATAGACAGGGAACTGGATCAGAAAGTGGAGCAACTGGGACATGGACCAGAACCCATATGGGGTGCCACACCAGGACCCCCCCATTCTGCATTTTAAAAAAGACTTCCAGTTGGAAATGTTGGACCTTGCTATTCCAGAGATGCTACAGCAAGACACACATATTCCATTCTGCACTGAGACTGGCTGGCATTTTATGTATATATGTATATCTATATAATAATTATTATTTATTGTTATTATTTTCCATAATACAGTTTTGTAGGTATAGGGCTTTCATCTCCCTCTCCTCTTCCTCCTTCCCCACTTTATCCTCGTAACATTTCCCACCACATTATTAGAGTGGTATAGTCCTTTAGTAACAGTTACAAGTTTAACATTCTGCTGTTGAAGCATGTCATGGCATTGTTAGTACAGGCAAGCTAGAAAATCTAGTACCAAATTGTCAATATTCATTTAACCATTTCATTGGGAGTCTTCCTTTTATTTGGAGTAGAGATGCCTGCTGCAAAATAGCTTCACTTGCTGGTATGCTAGTCTTCATTATACAGTTCATCTATTTATCTATGTATGTGTTTTGCATTTTACATGAAGGTTGACTTATTATATCAGAGAACCTATGGTATTTGTCATTTTGGAACTGGCTTACCTCACTGAACACAATGATCTCCAGTTGGGACCATTGTGTTGCAAATGGTAGAATTTCATTCTTTTTAATGACTGAGTAGTATTCCATGGGGTAGATGTACCAAGCTCCTGGCTTTGGATTGGCTCAGCTCCAGCTGTTGCGGCCGCTTGGGGAGTGAACCATTGGACAAGGGATCTTCTTTTCTGTCTCTCCTCTCTGGATATCTGCCTTTCCAATAAAAAAAAAAATCTTTGAAAAGAAAGAAAAGTTAAATTTTGATCGTCTGTATATATTTTTAAATGGGAAAATATGTGGTGATAGTTAGGAGATGTGCTACATTTTAAAAAATGAAAATATTGTCTTGGGCAGCACTTAACTTCAGTTTGGATAACACTTCATCCCATTTGAACTTGAAAGTTGAAGATACCTGTGTAGAGTGGGATCCTACTGGAGGAAAAGGCCAAGAAAGTAAAATCAAAGGAAAAGAGAATAAGGGCAGGTAAGCTACTTCGTTGAATCTGGTATATGGACAAATACTTACGCCTTGTTTTTTATGTTGAAATTCTTATTCTGTGCACCAGTATGATTTCTGATATATTAGTAACACCAAAGTGAAGAACATAATGCCATTTGTCATTAACTGATTTGTGCGTAAATTTCCCATTTGTTTAATTTCTTTCCTAATCCTCTTATCCATTTTCATTTTTGTATTCCATTTCTTTAAAGTTATGTACATATATATATATACATATGTATGTGTATGTGTGTGTCTGTGTGTATATAGCAACTTTAAGTGCTTACAGAGGATTTCCTAGTGTAATTTCTGGATTTTAGACTTACAGATCCCCTTTCTTACCTGAAGGTCTACGCCAAATGGCAGCCATTAGCATGTACATCCCCCTAATCAGCAGTCTCCTGAACCCAGGAGGTGGGCTCAAGGACCTTTTATTACTTTCATAGCTTATTTAGATAATGTCCAAGTGTGAGAGCCTTTTTTTTTTAACAGAGGACACTTTGTTCAAGCTGAAGGTAAATGTCATTGTTGAGTTACAACAATGAATCAGAGAAATTCCTCATCAGGCTTTTGATCTTATTATATACTGTTAAATTTACCTTGTAAAACACTCTCATATAACAGTTACTTATTTTTATCTGACAGTGTCCATGTTACTTCACTGAAGAAACATACAAGGTGATGATCTGTGTCTGTTTAGTTTTAGGATTTAGTATATGAAGCTTGGCTGAATAACTTTTAATTTTTTTTCTTTTAACCAACAAGCCAAAACCATTGCAGCAGCCTTCGCAAGCTAAAATATTGCTCTGTGTGGGCTGTCTGTACTGGGAGCTTAAGTTTTGGATTTAGAGCATTGTAGCGTGTTGCATATTCTTTAGATTTTATTGTATATGATAATAAAACAATAATCTATGCTTTAAAATACTTCTTGAGCTTTTTTTCCATTTTGTTTTTTTCTGCTTTGACTTATACTTGGCATCCTGTTTTCTGAATTCAGTATACCTAACATAGCTTTGCTTTTACTTGTTTTTGACATAAGGCTGCTTTGAAGCATTCTGTATGTAAAAAGAATCATACAGTTCCAAAAATTAATGATTAAAGCTACAGACGTTGGTTATTTTGAGGACAATGCAAGAATCATGGATAATTTCAAATTTCTTGAGTAAAAATAGTCATATTTGAAGACACTATATACCTTTACCAGAAACCGAAATGTTTTCTCTTTTTGAATTATACTTTTCTCTCCTTTTAAGTTTAATTGCTTGCTGTTGGTAAATAGTGATTTCATAGTTACTGTATCATAGATTATAAAATGCTGGATTTCATAGTGTCTGTGAAGTTTTACATGATTGCCAAGGAATTTTGAGAGTGCTTATATTATTAGTGTTAGCTTATATTATTCCTTTTTCTGTTCATTTCAAGGATAGTTCCTGTGTTGTAAGCCACTTTAGGAATTTTATAGACATTTGTTTATTCTTTCCATAAATTTTTATCATAGACTGTTTGTTAGATGTTGTGGGACTGATAGCTCAGCTGGTAGAGTGGAGGGCTGAGGAGATGTAGTGGGACTTACCAGCAGTGTTCCTGCCTCATCTTGATCTCATCACTTAGATGAGACACATGTACAGGTAATGGTAATGCCAAGCAGGTATTATTTATAATGGTAAGTACGAATAAAGAATTTGAAAAAAAGCAAGATGTTCGGAATTGCATCTGCTAGGGTGGTCCCTTAATTAAGGAAATGGTTTTTAGAGTAGATTTTGAGGAAGGACAGGAACAAGTGATATTTGGACTTGCATGGAGAGAAGTGCCAAGAGGAAAGGCATTGTAAAGATCTTGTGAACTTTGGCTGTTACATTCATCTGCATAGTGTTCTATAGGCATGAGAAGCTAGGAAGGCATACGGGGAACAGACCAAGAGTAAAATGCCAAACCAGGTTATTTGTAAGAACAAAGTGCATGAAAATTAAAAAATGGAAGGCTCAGAGCTAGGTTTGTCTTGTTAAAGTGAATAAAATGAATTAGATGGCAAGGAGTCATTCTGGAAAGCTTTTAAAATAACCCATGCTGGAGATAGCAAAGAACCGTAATTCAAAAGTGGCCAAATTGTTCTAAGTGGAGTGAGGAATAAATGGAAGGATGCCGTATTTAACGTAATAGCTGTGCACTACTTGCAAAAATGCACTTGGAAGGCGCGAGCTCTGAGGTCGGGGAGTTGTTACTTAAGCTGCTTCTGAGGTTAACCTGCCATTCTGAGTAGTTATTTATATCTTTTCTTTTCTCCATGCTTTCCTTTTTCTTTATTACTGGTAAGTTAAACTTTTTTTTCTTTAAAAAACAAAGTTTTTCTGGTTGTCGTAAGGACTCGACTTATTTTAAAGCAGTACTAAATGAAAAACTAGTTTATCCATGAATTTCTAACTATTGGATTGAATCACCTAGGAAATATTTTTTTAAATGTGTGCTTCCTCCTAACAACCACTCTGGATCACCAGCTGAGAACATGAATCCGGTCTCCTGGTTGATTCAGATTGTTACTCCTCAGTTGACAGTAATTGTCATCAAATCTGAAAGGGTTGAATCTCTAATCTGTAACTACGGCCAGGCAAGAGAAGGTGGCCCTTATTTGGTAACTTCACATACTGCATTTATTCAGTTGACTTCATTCGTTTTAGTGAAGATGTCACACAGCTTTGTGTACTGAGAATGCAAAGATGAGAACATGTGACAAGGTAATACCAATTTCCTTTCCCTCAGCTCTTCCACAGCCAAGTTCATTCCTTGGTATGGCAACCAAATGATGAGGGGCCCTATAGTAGAGTATGTAAGAATCGTATTTTCACCATCACATGTGATGGTCCCCCTTGAGGGACTTTTCTGTTTTTGTTTTTTTTTTATCTGTTTTTATATATTTATTTATTTTTAAAGATTTATTTTTATTATTTTTTTTTATTGGAAAGGCGGATATACAGAGAGGAGAGACAGAGAGGAAGATCTTCCGTCCGATGATTCACTCCCCAAGTGAGCGCAACGGCCAATGCTATGCCAATACGAAGCCAGGAGCCTCTTGCGGGTCTCCCACATGGGTGCAGGGTCCCAAAGCTTTGGGCTGTCCTCGACTGCTTTCCCGGGCCACAGGCAGGGAGCTGGAAGGGAAGTGGGGCTGCCGGGATAGAACTGGCGCCCATATGGGAACCTGGGCGTGCAAGGCGAGGACCTTAACCACTGCGCCACCGCGCCGGGCCCTCTTTTTGTTTTTAATCTTAGTGATTACTAGCCTGATGAGCCACAGAAATTGTTATTCTTTATTCAAAGATTAAAATGTGTATTTCCCAAGCTGTTCTCGGTGTTCTGTTTCAGTAGTCTATGGTGAGTCCTAGTATTTTGCATTTTTAAAAGGTCCTTCTATGGTCTATTTTTATTTTTATTTCACATTTCAATCTTTTTTAAAAACGGAGACACTGACTTATGCCAGCCTCAGCCTACATTGGGTCAGAATCACCATTGTCTTCTACTTTCCTGTCTCGTCCCCCTGGAAGTTCTTCAGTGATGGCACAGTGCACGTGGAATGGTCATCCCCGTGGTGACATGTCTCTTTGGGGTGCCTTCTGCAGGACTGGGCCTGAGACTCTTCCTAAGGTGTTAGTCTTTCAGAATTATGTCCGTGGTAAGTTTTGTGTCTGTCATAGATTTGCTTGTAAGCAGATCGTGTACCCTGAACATCCCTGTCAGTGAAATCTTTGGTTTGAAGGGCATCTATGTTTTTAAATTTTATGGAGCTTGTTGAGCCTGAAAAAATAAACTGATAAGCCCTTTGCTTGAAGCTGGTTCTCTTTTCTTCAGCAGCTCCCTATTCTCTTGCCTCCTCTTCAGCTGTGTTCACACAGTGATGGGAATTTTTCAGCTCCATTAAAAGCTCATGAGACCGTCACTGACTGAATGAGTATATTTAACTCAGAAAATCTGAGACAACCAAACGTTGAAGAACACAAAATACCTATTTTTGATATTCCTAATATGAAGTATAAGCTATCTGTTTTTATTGATTTTTGTCCTTTATTTTGAGGAAGATACTGCTGGATTTTCTCCCTCAGATTTTTTACCGTTAATATGAAGAGACTAATAAGTCACATATTTCACAAAATTTCAGTTTCTTATTCTTATTTATATCTATTTATGCTGTCTAAACAGAACTTATATGCATGTGTCTTAAAATAAATAGCTTTACAAAAAGAACCTTTGTAGTCCTTTTGGAAGAATTAAATAATATAAATGCTGGGTTATTATATTACTTAAACATTGAGCGGAAAGCAGATAGAAGTGGTCCTGAGGTCACAGTTTAATTCCTTGAAACTGATATATAAGTGTTGTGATCACAAGTCATTTAATTAATGCAAAATAACATGAAGTGACTGTAAATTTTATCTTTATTCTTGATTTATTTTTGTTTTTCTCAGGGGTTTCTATGCCGGTATTAGTTAGTGAAATCTACTAAGTTAATCTTTTGGGGAAAATTTTCTAGTGCAATTATGTTAGCCATGTGTTTTTATTTCTGACTAGTGGTAAGAATGTATACTATTAATTTTGTTTCTGTCAAAGGGTAATGTTAGTATTTTGTTGGCAAATTTTTTAGTGCAGTGAGTTAATTAAAATGTTATATTTAAAACGTCTGGGATTTAATCTGTTTTAAGTTTTTGAGAGTTAGTGACAAGCTAATACTATACTATACAGTGTATTACATAATTTGACAAGAGGTTTAATTCCTGGAAACAGGATTCTTGTTCCTTCTGTTGGGAGGAATGGTTTATAGAATTGAATGCTGTGCTGTGTGTGGATTTAGCCAGTAACTGTTTCTCTTTTAAGGATCTAGGAAAAAAAGTACCCACAGATAATAGGATTATTTAGTTATATAAAGAAAATCCCATTTTGCTTTTGCTTTTATTTAAATTTAGCTATAAAAACTTTGAGCATTACTTGATAATTTTTCTTTAGTTTTTTTTCTTTTAGCAATTTTGATTTTATGTTGGTAATATTATTTCAACTGTGTGTTCTTCATGTAAGCTTTGCTGCTTGGTGTTAGTGTTTTCCGCCTGCTTTATAATGATGGCTTCTTACGTTTTGGTGTTTACAGTTGATAACGCTAATAATATGCAAATTAAATTAAATGGTGCTGTTCATGCAACGTGACTAGAAATCTTACCAAAAGTTCTTTCCATGATTTGTAATTTTAGGTTATGAAACAACTGTAATATAAACTGTATTTCTTTTTCTTTTCTCTTTATATAGAAGTGGTACACCATCCCCCAAACGGACATCCATAGGCTCCAGGCCACCGGCAGTAAGAGGCAGCAGAGACCGTTTCACTGGGGAATCATATACTGTGCTGGGTAGGATAAAACATAGTAGCGTTTAGTATCTCATTTCAAAGGCAGCACAGGCATATAGGCACAATTTCCACTTAGGAGTACTGACTATGTTTTAAATAAATCTTTTTTCTTTTAAAAATTGATTTATTTTTATTCAAAAAGAAGATCAGATTTATTGAGAGAAGGAGAGACAAAGAGCTTTCATTCCTTGTTCACTCCCCAAAGGGCCTCAAGGCCAGATCTGAGCCAATCTGAAGCCACGAACCAGGAGCCTCTCTTAGATCCCTCATGTGGTTGCAGGGTCCCAAGGCTTTGGCCCGTCCTGTGCTGCCCTCCCTGGCCACAAGTATAGAGCTGGGAAGTGGGACAGCCAGGACTCCCAAATGGGATTCTGGCACTTGGAAGGTGAGGATATCGCCATTGAACTGTGCCTTTATATGATATTTGAAGAAGTTTGTTTTTATAGAGAGAAGTCTAATAAAATTATTTAGGGGTTATTTAAAAATTGTACTATTATCAGGGCAGATGGTTGTTGCAGTGTAGATGCCTCCTGCGTTGCCTGTATCCTGTTATTTGGAGTCCTACCTCTGCACCTGATTGAGGCAAGCTTCCTGCTGAACTGCGCTGGGAGGCAGCAGTGGTGGCTCAAGTTGTTGGGACACCTAGACTGAGTTCCTGACTTCAGCCTGGTCTAGCAATGCTGCTGGGGTATTTGGCAGATAGGTGATCCACCTCCCGCACCCCTTTCTCATCCCCTTACCTTCCTCCTCCCTCCCTCTCCCCTTCTTTCCTCCCCGTTTAGCTCATCCTTCCTTCTCTTACTCTGCCTCTCTCCCCTTGCTCCTTCCCCCTCCTTCTCCACCTTCCTCTGCTTCTCCCCCTCCCTCCATCCTTCTGTCACTCTATCCCTTTCTCCGTTTTTCAAATACATAAAAAATGTATACAAAAATCTTTGAAATTGTATTGTTGGTACTTCTAAAACTGTACCTCAGTTTGCTTTGTGCCTACATATGAATATAAGCCTTGGTAGGATAATAAAGTTAAAAGCTTCTGAGGTATTTTACATAGAGAAAAATCACTGTTTGTATGTTAACATGATTATTCTTACAAAATACTTGACTCAAATTTGGTGGGAGCCATTTGTAGGACAAATATTAGATACAAATTTGTGACTCAGAAAGAGGAAATAAATGACAAATCTATTCTGTTTTTTGTAGGAGATACTGCTATTGAAAGTGGACAACATTATTGGGAAGTCAAGGCACAGAAGGACTGTAAATCCTACAGTGTGGGAGTAGCATATAAAACTTTGGGGAAATTTGACCAGTTGGGAAAGACAAACACTAGTTGGTGTATCCATGTCAACAATTGGTTACAAAACACATTTGCTGCAAAACATAATAATAAGGTCAAAGTGTTGGATGTTCCCGTTCCTGAGAAAATAGGTGTATTTTGTGATTTTGATGGGGGTAAGTATACTTGTTTTTTCATAAGTCATTGCATCGTAGGTGCCTGAGTTGCTATACTTTGTGTTGATAATCCTCTCTGCAGAATTTTCCTTAGTATTATGGTGGGGATGTTTTGACAATTTAGCTTTGATCACAGCATAACCTCTTGTTTTACAGTTGACAGTAAGGGCATGTGATGTCTGCTTATAGCACACCAAAGATCCTTACAATATGTTAGATAAGTCTGATAGATTGTGCTGATTTTAGTCTTAGTTTCTTCTTTACCTTGTTTCGTTGCCTACCTGTAGAAAGTGGTGAGTCATATTTTTCAAGTGGAAGTGGAGCTTACAATGACTGTCTACCTACCACAAAGTATAAAATCTATTGCACGGTGTGAGCAGATAACTGCTACTCCTGTGCTTGTAGAACTTTGTGTTAAGGTCATAGTTTTGGAAGGAAGCCTGAATCGTTGGAACTCCTGGCTAGAATGCTTATCTTACATTGACTTACATTGGCTCTTTATAATGTCTGAGACTGTTGCTCTTACACTTCATCATCTAGATACACATAGAATTGTGAACCCTAACCCACATTTGGTAAATTCATTATCTGTTTAAAACTTCCAGCATTGAATTTTCTTGTCAAAATTTTCTAGCCTATTCAATCTTTGTTATTAGCTGTTCTCATACTTTAATTTTTCTAAATCCTTACAACCTTACAATATCTTACAGTCATTATAATGTATTCCTTTTTTCTTTTTAAATTAAAAAAATGAGAACATTTTCAGTTTACATTGTAACCAGAGGCTTAAATACTCCACTAAACAATGAGTTCAAAGTATAAACCGTAGACACTGTAGTTCTTCACGAATATAGGCAAGGACTCTATAAATAAGAGAATGAAAAGGTGTTAATTTCACTCAGACACAGTAAAACTTAAAGATTCATTATTTTTATTTGAAAGGTAAAATTAGGAGGGAGAGAGAGCGCGCACTTCCATCCATTGGTTCATTCCCCAAATGGCCACAATGGTCAGAGCTGAGCTGATTCAAAGTCAGAAACAAGGAGCTTCCACTGGGTCTCTCATGTGGATGCAGGGGCTCAAGGACTTGAACCATCCTCTGCTGCTTTTCCAGTTTATAAGCATGAAGCAAGATCAGAAGTAGAGCAGCCAGCCCATATACACAGTAAAATATAAGACAGTCACATAAAAAATTGAGACAGGACTACCATATTGCGTGTTTAACATGCATTTTGAAATGCAGTGAAAGAACTCAAAAGTAGAGCTGAAGGTAAATATATGACACACCACCAGAATGGCTATTGAAGGTTGCACAGAAATGTCTACATAAGCATTACTGCTCTGCTGTTTGCTTGTGCCTACTGTGTAATTTTGTGTCCCTCAGGCACACAGCACTTTGCTAGTATGCCTCAATGTTAACATTTTTTTTCTTCCTCTTTGTTTGATAGCAATTGAGTTATTAGGGGAATACTGCAGAGGTGGGAAAAGCCTCAACAAAGCAGCTGCGGTTTGTTTTTTTGTTTTGTTTTGTTTTGCTTTGGCTGTTGGGCGGATAGGTATTTGGGAGCCCCCTGCCCACTTCACCCATACAACACCAGGGTGAACAGGAGGAACACAGGAAGGGCAGGGCCCACAGAAAGTTTCATAATCATGAATGCAAGTGGGGGAGGAGGAGGAGGAAAGGAAGAAACAAAACAAAACAAAAAGAAAGAAAATACAAATCCTTTGATACATACAGCAGGGTGAGAGGGGCAGACATGAAGCTGCAGCGGAGGATGGGCTGCTGGGGGTGGGGGCCAGCAAAACCCTACCTCCTCTCTTGGATGCTGTTTCCATAGTTTCCAGGCTGAGAAGCCCTCTCAGAAGATGGGAGGGTCAGGGCCTCAATTGGCCACCCAGCTGTAGCTGTAGCTGTTGTAGGCAGACTTACTGGTCTGGGACTTCTGTGGGAAGGAGCTAGTCTGGCTACATTGCCTGCTGCCCATGTGCTCCTCCTGCTGGCGCTGACAACAGAGAATCATCTGCAAATATGGTAGCTGGCCATCCTGCTGCAGGTGATGATGAAGGATCTGGGAGTGCGGCTGCTGATGGGGGCGTCAGAATGTGCATAAACGGGCAAGTGGATAGGCAGCAGCTGTGGCCAGATTGATGGCCCCCCACCCGGCTTCCTAGGGCTGAAGGCAAGTTGAAGGAGGCAGCAGGAGTACTGAAATGAAAAACTTGTTTCTCATATGGCTGGGTTTTGGAGTACACAGAACCCAAGATATCTGGCACGCCCATGTTACTGGAGGTGACTGATACACCAGTGTTGTATAGCAGCTGCGTTTAGAATAGGAAACAAAAGAGACCAAAGGTATTTCACAGTTGGCATACAAACCAGGGGAGACTCATCCGAGGGGAGCTTCATGAAGGAGAACAGATGTGAGGAGGCCATTAGGCTGGTGAGAAAAGGGGAGTTATTTTAGGACATAATCCTGTTGAAAGACAACAACATATTTAGCTTTAAAATTGAAGCAGCTTTAACAATACTATGGTTTCAGAGTCTGGAATATAAGCATGGTTTCAAGTAGTTAGTTGACAAGGTATAAGCTATTAGAGAGTAATATGATTTGCATAGAAAATCTGGTTTCCATTAAATTAGGAAGAAATAGCCTTTTTTAATGGATCTTGAAACAATTTGTTAAATAATTGTGAAGTAGTAAAATAGTTAAGTGAGCAGAGGTGCCATAATACTAAGGCATTATGAAGACACCATAAAGTTGAAAATTAGAAAGATGACTGCTTCTTTAACATGTCTGCTTTGATTTTGTAGTGAGAATAATTAAATCCAGTTGTTACAGCTTGTAATAAAGAATTAATGCCAAAATATGTTTTAGGCTTTTTTCCTTATATGGTAATTGTTAAGACTCAATCTGATTTTATAATTTTTTACTATAATAATTAGACTGCTTTTCTTTTCTTTTTAGGTCAACTTTCTTTCTATGATGCAAACTCCAAACAGTTGCTTTATTCCTTTAAGACAAAATTTACTCAGCCAGTACTACCTGGATTCATGGTTAGTGCCCAACTTACATTTTAGTTTTTCAATTATAAGGAGAATAATTTGTTTTATACTTGGAAAACAAGATTTCTCATTTTTCATATTTTTTCCTTGGGTTTCCAGTCTACTTCCTTCCCAATCTATGGTTGTCTACATATTTTTGGTATATTTTAGTGAAATAAATGTTAATACATTAAAAGCAAACATCATAAGCCTATGGTCTGATGTATTTTTCTAATACTGCATTCCTGTGACCAGCACCTAGATTATGAAATGGAGTATTAGCCAGAACCTCGGAAGTCCATATGTGTTCATATCTAACCCCTAGGAACTGTCCTCCAAAAATGCTTAGACTGTCTTGGGGTTCAATACCCAAGATTTGCTTTGAATCTTTCTCAACTTTATATAAAAGGAGCTACACAATCTCATTTGTAGTCATATCGTGCAGTTTATCCATATTCTATATGGTTGTATTTCATTCAGACCCATAGCTGTATAGTTTTCCATTATTTGGCCATATCATTATCTGTTCTAATTTAGATGATTACATGGCTGGTTCCCAAATATTCTTATCATGTTTTTTAATAAATGTGCTTTTATACATGTATTTCCAATGAGTATATATATAGAATTTAGACTGCTAGATCATATGCTATATATGTAACTAAAGTAGATGATACTGATAAGTTTAGCAAAGTGCTTGATTACACTAACTTATAAACAACCGTGTATGAGAACTTGAGTTCTGTGTTCTTGGCATACTTGGTTTTCTCTTCTCAATTTCAGTACTTCTAGTTGGCATGATATATTTTGCCTTTAACTTGTGTTTCATGAATGACTAATGCTACTGAGCACATTTTCATATTTTTATTGATTATTTCAGTATATTATTCTCTGAATCAGCCATTCTTTTTCTTGAATTCTCTTGGGTTTTTTTTTATTACTTGTTGATTGATTTGCATTCCTTGTTTGTTCTGATTTATTGGCAACATATTATCTATTGCAGATAGCCTCTAGACTATGCCTTTCCTTCTTTTATTAAAGAAATGACCTTGTTATTTGAGCTGATGAAAAAAAAAATTTAGATTATAATGTTATCCAGTTTATCAGGTTTTTTTTTCTCTTACAATTTACACTTATTGTTTTATGCTTAAGAAATGATTAATCAGTGCCCGGCACAGTAACCTAGCATGTACAAGGTGAGGACTTTAGCCACAAGGGTACTGCATTTGGCCCTAAAAATCTGTTTTTTGCCACAAACATCTACTCTATTGTGTGTTTTTGGCTATTGATTCCAGTTTGGTCAATTATTATGTGGGACTCAGGAAAATTATTTTTCTATTTGGGTATTTTTTTAAAATAATTATTATTTTACAATGCAGTTCTAGACTCTGAGATTTCCATGGCCCTCTCCCCAAACTCTTCCCAACCCCACTGATTTCCCCTATATTATTACAGCAGTATAATCTTTCATGAACAATCCTAAGTCCATCATTCTGCTATTCAAGTATATCCTGACAGTGTAGGTATGGACAATGGATTTCACAGCCAAGACCTCCACCAGAGCCACATTGGTGCCATTTTGTGTAGAGAGGCAAAAGCTCTGGGATGGAACTGCGCATGCACTAATCTGGGAGAGAACTCATTTCTAGCCCAGTGTGTTGCACCAATGTGGCATCCTGCAAGTTTCACCCAAAATAGTTCTGGTTAGCTTCCAAACGTAACAGCCAGCAGATCCAGAATTCCAACAGTGGCACATCAGGCACCATTTTGTACAGTGTGGCAGTGAGTTTGGAAACTGGAAGGACAAAAGTGAGCTGTGCATGAGCTGAATTGGGAGAGAACTTAGTTCAAGCTCAGTGCATTATAATGTTCCCACAGAGAAAATGATAGTGACTTTGACATCGTACAGGTCAAAATAGGTCCAGGTGGCTCTCAGACCTAACAGCTAGCAGGTTCCAGCAAGATCAGCACTAACAACAACCTAGTTATTTGGGAGACATTTGGTGTCTCCCTAATCCTGGGAATTGCTTGATCTGGAAGTGGGTGAAAGGTTGTAAGGCCAACAGTGGAGCCACAGCATGGGATCACAGGAGGTAGAGAGTGGTGAGCCAGGAGCTGGGGTTATGGAGACCGTGGTGGAAGTCCAACTTAAGAACCCAGACCTGGAACTAACTGGAGGGAGTGGCACAACGGACTGCAAAGAGTCATGTGTTAACCACAGTAAGTAAAACTGAATTGCAGACATGGGTGACCCAGCTTAGAAATCTGTCCTAATGAGAAGAGCCTGCTAACCAGAAGTACAATGACCAAGATCAAAAGAAGAGGCAGAGGCACAATGAATATTAATGAAGACTGCCCTGCAATGGAGCAAAAGCTTTTGCCAACCTCAAAGTTAACTGAAGAATACATCGAAAAAATAGGAGATACAGAATTCAAAATACTTGTTGCAAACCTTATCAACAATGAATAGTACATACAGGGGTTCAAGGAATATGTCACACAGGAAGTAGAAACACTGGATCAAAATCAAGCAGAATTATTAGTAATGAAGAACACAATGGAGCAAATTAAAAATTCAGTGGAAAGTCTCCATGATAGAATGAATGAGGCAGAAGAAAGAATCTCAGAATTGGAAGATATTTCCTGTCATCAGGGGGAATTATTCAAAAAGCTGAAAGAGAAGCTGAGTCAAACTAAAAAAAAAAAAATTATTCAAGAATTAAGGGACAGTATTAAAAGGCCAAATATAAGAGTTATGGGAGTTCCAGAAAGTGCAGAAAGAGAAACTGAGTTCAAAAATATATTTAATGAAATAATGAAAAAATTTCTTAATCTGGAGAAAGAATTGGGAAACAACAGCTAGGCACAGAACTCCCAATAGGATTGACCAAAAGCAATTTTCACCACAACACATGATAATCAGGCTCCCTTCAACTGAACATAAGGAAAAGATCCTTAAATGTGCATGTGAAAAAAAAATCAGTTGACCTATAGAGGAATGGCAGTCAGACTCACAGCTGACTTCTCACCGGAAAGTCTGTAGGACAGCAGAGAATGGAACGACATATTCCAGATTTTAAAAGGAAGAAGTTGTCGGCCCAGAATAACGTACTCAGCAAAGCTTTCCTTTTTCTTTGAGAATGAAATAAAGTTCTTCCATAGTAAAGAAAAACTCAAAAGAATATGCCTCCTCCAGACCTGCCGTACAAATGATACTTGACAGTTCTCTTGACAGAGAAGAATCGCATCCACCAAAACCAAAGGCAAATATGGAGAGCACCCCATAAAATGATAACAGAGGACTAAAACAATGAATAACCCATCAGTAAAATGACAGGACCAACTACCACCTATTCATGTACACCCCAAATGTAAAAGGATTCAACTCATCAATCAAATGTCACAGATTAGTGGACATAATCAAAAAACAAAGCCTACAGGAGACACATCTCACCAACAAAGATGCGCAGAAGCTATATCTCATGGATTATGCTTTTTTTTTCATTTCTTCAAAAGTTTTTTTTTCTCATATTAAATTCTTTACTGACTTGTAAGTCATTACTAGCATCGTTTTCTTCAAGTAGGTTCTTGATTTTCTTTTCCATTTCTTCAGCGACACATTCGGTAGCATGCTGTTTAACTTCATGACATTGTAAATTTCTATTTTTCTTCCTGTTGTTGATTTTGTTTTGTGGCTTTTCATCTAAGGTGATGTTTAGCAACTGCATAATGGAGGTGATCATCTCCAGATGTGAAGATGTGCAGTATGCATCTCTACTTCCAAATCAAAAATGGACTTCCAATTAAACTGTTAACTATATCTTGACAATAGGATGCTGTACTATCTGCTATTGTCCATGCCCGCAGTGCTGCACTCGTAACTGTTTATGAAGAACTATACTGTTGTAATAGCATAAGGGAAATCAGTGTGTGGGGGGAGGAGACTTGTGAAAAAGATAAGGGATATCCCAGAGCCTACAGAACTCTATCATAAAATAATAATAATAATAATAATAAAGAGTGGGGGGAAAACAGAGTTGTTATTGTTGGATGTAGGTAGTAGATTTAAGAAAATCCAGTGGATTTGAGAATACATTAGAACTGAGCTCAGTAGTTAAAGTAGTTGATCCTTGGTGTTCTCTCCCGTGCTATGAAGGGTTGTATTAGCTGGAGTTTTTGTCTAGATGAATGGAGTTTAGTCTCAGTTTCTTCACCCTTGAATTCCTGCTCTAATGCAGCACCAGTGGGTTCTGCAACCACAAAGGCTTCTTCGGCCCTCTGAGAACGTGAAGAAACCCTGAGTGAGCCTTTCTAAAGTCTGCTCTGAGCTCAGATAGTCAAAGTTAGCAGTTTGGGGCTGACTGTGTTCATAAATGTAGCATTCTATCTTTCAAACAGAAACGTGCAATGCACTGAAGTTTTAATTTGATTTGAAAAAAAAAATGTTTCAGACTGTTTTTGTCTTGTCTTAGGTTTGGTGTGGTGGACTTTCTTTGAGTACTGGAATGCAGGTCCCAAGTGCTGTGAGAACCCTTCAGAAAAGTGAAAATGGAATGACTGGTTCAACTGGCAGCCTGAACAATGTTACTCAGTGATGCGACTCAGAACGTGTTTACCTTCGCTCTGGACTGGATGGCCTTTCTTGCGCAGTCGCTAATCACAAGAACTTGTGAATGGTAGAGAACAGACTTGCTATATTCTGCTTTAAGGCCTGAAACCTGTTAGCGTTCAGCATCTAGTGAGATCCCCAGGAGCCTACCGTGCAACACCATAGGAACAGCAGATGTCAAGCAAGAAGCGTTGTTTCAACGTGTAAATGGGCAAAAGATGGTGTGAGGTATTTGTATAGAAACTCATCTTTGTGTTTCTTGGATTTACTTTGTGGTAAACCTAGGGCCTGGAGTGAAAAGCTGTTAAATCATGCCAGCTTTCAGGAAATCTTTTTGTCTTTTCTATGTTGCCACTATCTACTATTTAGTTCTTCCACTAAAGCTTTATCAATATACAGTCCTCTAAGGTTTTCTAAAAAGTGAAATCAGTTTGGGAGTAATAGAAGATTTTCTTAAGAGTGGTTTATTTTTCCCTTTTTTAGAAATGAGTTCTGCTAAATCAGTTTTTGTTTATTGAGTTGGCCATATATCATTTTCTCCTTTCTAAAATACTATGTTATTTATCTCGTGGTTATAACTCAAAATAGAGTAGATATAAAGAATTTCTATACATAATTTGTGTAAAATTGCCCAGATTTCCGTTTTATATCTGGTGTACTAACACAAGGGCAAACAGATGCTCTTTATATACTGCCCTATTTTACTTAGAATTCATTCCATCACTTTAGATGATGGGTAAAGTTTTAAAAGCCTTCTATTTTGTGATTTTGTTATCTAGTTTAATCACAATTTAGTAGTCGTCTTTGGTGATATTCCCACTTGAATTTGGCAGTGATAACAGTTATGCTGATTTATAACATTTCTAAAAGGAATGAAAGTTTGTTAATAAACTTATATGGAGGCAAGAGAAACCTATACTACCCAACTTTTATCTAGGAAGCGGTTGTAAAGGAGATGCCTAAAAGTATTCCTAATGAAGAAATATATATATATTTTTAGTAAGATATGTAACACCCTAAAATTGCTTTGAAAACAATTACATATCTTTGACTTTATTGGCACATGAGTTTTTCAAACAACTCTTCAGAATTTTTTTTTCTTGTATTATTACATTCATTTGCTTTTTAAATTGACACAGACATCTTTCTCAAACTTGAGGAAAATGTGTTAAACAAGAGTCAAACCTGAGGTTACTGAGCAGAACATATCTATTCTTGAAAAGTTGGCTGCAGTTTGTAACTCTAGTGCTTTGAGCCAAACTGGAAGTTGCAGTTACAGTATTTAAGAATTCCTTAATAATTTGTAAGAGGTTTGTAACTTCCTAAATTTTTAAAGCTTCTCTCTTTTTTTTTTTTTTACTTTCTTTCACTCTCATTTATATTTTTATGCTATGACATCGTTCTCCTAAGAAATGATCATTGCTGCTTGAGTTGCTTTCTACCTAAAGGCCTATGTAATGGTGGTTAGTTTCTTTTCTATTGAAATTTACTGCTTTCTGATAGGATATTTTGTTCTACTGATAAAACAAACCTGAATGAGGAGGTTTTTTTTGAAGTGTTTTTTTTTTTTTCAAAGTGGAGGAGACGCATATCTGCATTGCTGCCTACTGATGCACTAATGATTTTAAAGGTTTAGAACTTAAACTTTAGAGAATGAGTGTGTCAGTAAATAATCTTTTGATTGCCTTGACAAATAAATTTTTGGTTTTGTTTCTCATATGTTTTGGAAGATATTTTTGGATATTCTTTCTCTATTTAGAGGGGCTACTCCAGGAACTGAGAAAACAGGAATTTGTAATTCCTTTTTATAGACTGACACCTGAAAGCAGTAATTTAGTACTCAAGTTGCTTTTATGTGATTAGCTACGCAGTATATTTTAGCAACAATGACCCAGGAAAAGCCAAATGTTCTTGTATACAGTTTTTTACTGTTGTGTCTTATATAATTATCTCTTCTCATTAATTCAGTGCCTTTTTCCTCTAAGCATAATCTTGCTCCATGCTCCACGCAGTGTCAGCTAGGAAGTAGAGAGCATTCTGTTGTAGTGGTCAGGGCCTTCTTTTGCAGGAGCATGGGGGAAAAAGAAACATTGATCAGGGGCTAGAGGACTGTACATGATTCCTTCCTGTGCTCATGCCATCATTTGAGACTCAGCAAATAATTTTTCCTAATGTTCACTTGGAAAATATATTAAATTTCTCTTGGAGAGGTTTCATTTCTCAAACGTTTTGTGATAAAATATACAGCAAATCAAAATCCATGTAATACCTGTTATTAAATTGTACCATTATCTCTTTAAAATAAGAACCTGAGAGTTTCCTATTACTATATTTCTTAAAGTTCTCTAACATCAAAAACTTGACTTTTTTTAAATGTTTAAGTTTATTAAGTTGAACTGGAGAAGGTTTGTCATCCTCATTGTCAAACTAAAACATAATCAAATGTGGTGCCTATTTAGAGTCAGAATAAGGTAACTATTTTTTGATCATAATTAAGTCTCATTGACATTTGAATTAAGAATTGAGCATTCATGCTCAATTTAGTACATTCTGAAGAGCTACTACACACATTTAAACCTTCTTTATTGCTTTATAAAGTTTTTGTTTTGACAGGTCACACATGATTGCTTTCCATAAAGGAAATGCATGAGAGGTTGACTGGATGGATGTAAACATAGGTGTAAAAATTGTTCCACAAAAGCATTATTACATTTCTCTTTTAGCAGTTGAATTTCAGACCAGTTTTATTAAACTGGATATAGAAATGGAAGAACTGCCTTAAGCACTTTAGAAAAAAGATTTTTTTTTACAATTCATTTTGACTCTTTCAGCAGGCCATATCATTAACTTTCGGTAAATATGTACAACCAAGAATTTATTAACTATTCCACATAGAAATTTAATATTCAGCAGTTTGAATGTTCCAGGTATACCTAAACAAATTTAAAGTATCAACACTTGCTTTTTTGTACATGGTTTTAGTTGGTAAGATCTGTACCACATTCACCAGCTGAATGGCTACTGTATCACTAGACTTTAGTCTGCTCCATACAAGTAATTTTCAAACACAAAGAAATGAAAACAATAATCAACCCTCCATGGCATGTAATAGACATACTGGCTTTGTTTTACTCAATTATGAGGCATATGTATAATTTGGATTCTTTGTGACTTATTGCAGGTGGTCTAAATAATAAAAGTAACTAAATCATTTAATTAGACTAATCTGGTCTATTTCATGACTTACTTAGGATTATTAATTTTTATCCCTGTACTTTTTCCATAAAATTCATTTTTAATATATTTTTGTTTCTTTTAGAAATATTGGGAACAAATTAGGAAAGGTAAGATTTTTTAAATGATCACTTTAAAAAGTATTACTCTTTAAAGGAATCAGTATTGACTTGTTGCTGTAAAATGCAGTTCCAAGGTAAAAATATAAATCATATTTCCAGAGTATCACAATTCTCTTTAAAACTTTGATTTCCTAGATCAATGTCCATTCATTGGCTAATTGATACAACAAACACATAGTGTGGGATAGCAGTCAAAATTTGGGTATTTTGTATTAGCATATCCAAAAATTACAAAGTTTGATTTAACATATGTGTAGATTTGCTGCTTTTGAATGGTGAGACATTTTACACCTTAAAATGTTTTCCAAAGTAGACATGTAGAAGGGCCATTTATCAAATCATCTGCATTAATATGGTTCACTTTTGTGTCACCACAGTAATATATCTAGAAAATTTTCTTCCTTAGTTTTTCTTTATACTTTGGATATATCTTTTAGGGAAGTATTTGATCAGTCTAAATTTATTCAGTAGCCAAGCAACCCTAAAGTTATTAGTTATTTTTAACCAAAATAAAATTCCACAATGCTTGCACTAGAGTATTACACAAGATCATGAATGTTTTCTTAACGATCACAGCAAGATTACCTCATGTTCAGTATAATTTCACTTTACTTTTCTGTAAGTGCAGTTTTCTGTAATTGTATGATCGTAGTACGTCACATATGATAGCTTTGCTACCTGCCATATTTGAACAACCTAAGTACTTTAAGTATTCTGATTAATTGGAATGTAAGTGGGTTACATTTGGTATATCTTGTGTTCACGGAAGATACTGTTGGACATGCCCTATAAGCGTTAATTATAAACAAACACCAGAAATTGCCATAGTCTTTTCTCTTCAGCCTCCCAGTCTATTAAAATTGAGTGTTCATTATTTCTGGGTCAATGTAAGATAGACATTCATTTCACAGTTATTTAGCCTGTGTTAGTTCACTATGTTTCTTTGATGGATACCCATGCACTGTGAGTTGGTCCTTGGGGAAGAAGTGCAAGATTTTAGTGTGTAAGGGAAGAAGGCAAGGGAATGTTTTTATGTTGGCTTAATAAGTTTCATTTAAAAGAGGTAAAAGCGTAAGAAAAAGGCATTTTAATCAACATTAAAACTTTTTTTTGAGAGCATAAGAAAAATGCATAATTTTTTACCTTTCAAATATCTTGAGGTACCAAAGCAGTGAGTCCAATTTACCTTTCAAGGGAGACTCTTTAAAATCAAATTTATTACTATTCATACTATAAAATATGTATTAGCTAAAGTTTTGGATTAATTTATAATAAAAGCCACGTGTTAAAATCTGGATGTGACATAAAAATATTTGGGCTTCATTTCTTTTGAAGTAGTTAGAATTATTCACCATCTAATGCATCCATATATATCATATATCATCTTTGGGACTCTGTTGCCTTACTTCTCAAAAAATTGTATCTTGCTCAGCCCTACCTCACAGGGGTGTTGTGAGGAGTAAAATGGAGTACATAAAATTGCTTTAATGACAATGTTATATAAGGTGTTTTGTTTAGATAATAATGGATTTAAGTGTTTGGATACTTGTGTATGTCATTTACTTCAAGAAAGCATGTCCTTAAAGTAATATCACCAGTGATTTTGAAAAATAAAACCTCCAATTTTAAAAATCCTTTTAGTATATACATTTAGTTTGTACATAAGTTGTAGCCATTTTGTATTTTTCTCATCAAGCCTGTCACCGTTTCAAGACTTTCTAGAACTTTAAAAATTCTCCTACCACATTAATGTGTCAATGTGAAATAGGAACATACATATTTAGATGATGTAGGCTACATTTCCACCCAGGAATTCACACTTACTTGTTTAGGGCCGCTCAGTACCACATAATAAAAATGAATTTAGTTTAAATGAGTCTTTCCAAACAACCAAATGATACAGCAGTATGTTGTCAA